TTAGGTAGTTAGTTAGTTAGTTAGTTAGATAGATTAATTAAATAGATAGATTAATTAAATAGATAGATTAATTAGATAGATAGATTAATTAGATAGATAGATTAATTAGATAGATTAATTAGATAGATAGATTAATTAAATAGGTAGATTAATTAGATAGATAGATTAATTAGATAGATAGATAGATAGGTTAATTAGATAGATAGATTAATTAGATAGATAGGTTAAGTAGATAGATAGGTTAATTAGATAGATAGGTTAATTAGATAGATAGGTTAATTAGATAGATAGTATAATTAGATAGATAGAGTAATTAGATAGATAGAGTAATTAGATAGATAAATTAATTAGATAGGTGGATTAATTAGATAGATAGATTAATTAGATAGATAGATTAATTAGATAGATAGATTAAGTAGATAGATGGATTAATTAGATAGATAGATTAACTAGATAGATAGATCAATCAGATAGACAGATTAATTAGATAGATTAATTAGATAGATAGATTAATTATATAGATAGATTAATGAGATAAATAGATTAATTAGATAGATAGATTAATTTGATTGATGGATTAATTAGATAGATAGATTAATTAGATAGATAGATTAATTAGATAGATAGATTAATTAGATAGATTGATTAATTAGATAGATAGATTAATTAGATAGATAGATTAGTTAGATAGATAGGTTAAGTAGATAGATAGGTTAATTAGATAGATAGGTTAATTAGATAGATAGGTTAATTAGATAGATTAATTAGATAGATAGATTAATTAGATAGATAGATTAATTAGATAGATAGATTAATTAGATAGATAGATGGATAGATAGATAGATACATAGATACATGTATACATGGATACATAGATACGTAGATTGGTACATAGGCAAAAGGATGAATCCAAAAGTAGAAAGGGAGACGAGGAATCTACGGTAGACAGGGCCAAAACGACACATGTGGAAACTAACTTGGGATCAAGGCAAAAAAACGACATTAAGCTCCACGCAAACAACACGGCAAGGACAGCGACACGCCATCTACAGCAGACGGCGCCGCAACGCCGCATGTCGAAATTAACATTAGATTAAGGCATCACAGCACAGCGGAACAAAGTTGCATGCAAACAACAAGGCAACCACATGGTCATGCAACAAGAAGGAACGTCAAACAAACACCAAGGTCTACAACGACGGGCAACGAGCTCATGCTGCTATGACATCACGCTGCGGCAACTGGTTGACACACAGACAGACAAACAGACAGACAAACAGATAGGTAGATAGGTAGATAGATAGAAAAACAGACACACAGACATATAGATGCATAGGCAAAAGGATAAATCAATAAGTAGTAGAAAGGGAAACGGCGATACAGATAGAGAGAGAGAGAAAGAGAGAGAGATAGAGAGAGAGAGAGAAAGAAAGAGGGAGAAAGAGATGTCAATACACAGATAGATGGGCACACGGGCACATATCAGTCCTAGGACATCGTCATGACATGCCAGCTGGGAAGTTTTAATTACCAATCAAACATTCCTAGCTGGAACATCCGCTGTGTACCGCGGAGTCGATTGAAGTTGGTGTCAAGGGAGAGGAAAATGATGATGTTGATGTTGAGTAGGAAGATGTTGATGTTGAGGAGGAGGATGTTGAGGAGGAAGACCGATGAGGCCAGAACGCAGACATACACTTTGCGCGAGCCTGAGCAGTCAATGCATTTCAACATGTCACAAGAACCGCACCATACGGAAATTTACAGGTAACACGCCGCAGACCAGAGTGAGGAGCACCCAGATCAGGCACCTGCCTTTACACCTACCGTTAAGAACCCCTCAGTGTGGACAAACTGTTTGGGGAATCAAAAGACAGACTGCAACTGCCTGCCAGCGTGTCACTTCTGAACTTCTGGACTTGTCGCTGGCCCGGGCACACGGGCACCCGGGCACAACCCCGATCCACGGGCACACGGGCACACGGGCACACGGGCGCACGGGCACAACCCCGATCCACGGGCACACGGGCACACGGGCACAGCCCACCAGAGAACCAACCGTACACTGGTCGTTCGGTGTCTTCACGCGTTCAAGTTTGCAGGAACCAATCGTTTTACCACTGCAGCTATGAACATATCGGGTCTGAGGATCAAGACAGCGCGTTCCAATTTTGAAATGTTCGGCCATGTCCTAGATAATAACCTTAGTTTCATGCTATATTTTTTGAAAAACATGTTGCATAAATTGGTGGCACACTTTGCTGAAGTAATACGGCCACCTTCTCAAACATTATTGCATCATCGATGGAATCTGCTGTAGACTCATGTTACGTCGTATTGTTACTGTACGGTTTTTGGGAGGGATGCTACACAGATTTGCCAAAAAACTATTCATGTTTAAAACTATATACATATATACATATATACATATATACATATATACATATATACATATATACATATATACATATATACATATATACATATATACATATATACATATATACATATATACATATATACATATATACATATATATATATATACATACATACAATACACATACATATGTGCATCTTCAAAGAAATGTTTTCCTTGATTGGCACAGATTTTGCACAGTTTGCAGTAATGACATTTTTTTTCGAGCAAATGCTGCACTAGTTTGAAAGAGATATTGTAGGTAATTGTGCTACTGCACTCTTTGCATAGGCATGTAGCACTTGCTTACATTGCCGTAATTATATTTGAATAAATTTGTGTTAAGATTTATAGTTTATAGTCACAATTTGTTTTGCAGTGTTTGAAACCATATTCTACTTTGTTTACAAATATAAGACACTGCACATTTTGAAGACCTTTTGAAAGTCGAGTCACATAGCACCCTTTTCAAAACAAAACAACATTTCCATAGAACAGTTGTACTCTTTGAAAGGCCATATTGCAGAAGGTGGTGCAATACTTGCTTTACAACAAAAAACACGTATGTTTAAACAGGTTTTTGCATCATCAATGGAATCTACAGTACTGTAGGCTCTTGCTACATTTCCTTACAATAATGTTGCACACTTTACAGTCTTTACAGACAAGAATCTGCACTTTCAAAGGTAAAACACATGTTTCAATGAATGTGTCAGCAAGATGGCACTCTTTTCAAAACCATGAGGTAGTAATTCAAGAACAGATTGAATCTTGCAAAACAGCATACTACATTTTCCTACAGGAATGCTATGATTTCTGAAATCATTCAGTACAGACATAGGAGGGTTCTCTTTGAAATTGGGACGTAATGCTACACATCTTTCAAAGAATGCAACAATGTTTGCAAAAGGTTGTTGCATACATGGAGGAATGGTGTTCTTTATGCAAAATCATTTTACAAGTGATGTTTGCATGTTTATTTTCCTTCATTATTTATAGAGAACATATTGCATAAATTGGTGCCTGTTTAAAATGCACATTTTTAAATGCTACTTATCTTTCAAGCAATGCCACACTCTTTGCAAAGGGTTCTTACATTGAGGAATGGTATTGTTTATGCAAAGTCATTTTACAAATGCAGTTTACAAATTTATTTTTCCTTCATTGTTTATAGAGAACATATTGCATAAATTGGTCCATGGCTAGAAATGCACATGTCCAAAAGAACTATTGCATATGTTGAAGGAAACTCCTGTAGAGATGTAGAGTCTATACATTTTTGTAGCAATGCCGCACTCGTTGGAAAGGCATTTGCGTTTGTTTGCTTTGTTGTGTTTATTTAGTGTTCATGTTTGTTTTGACTGAAACTATGTATCTATGTAGAACATTGGGAGAGCTGTTGAGAATGCACAGTGGTTGCTTTTGCTGCAGAAACAACAATGTTTGGTTTTGGAAAGAACACGGTGTGGTATCTTTTGCAGAAATGAAATGTCAAAAATGCAAAAAAAAAAATGGCGCTCGCAACACCCCCCTCCCTTGTTTTTCAATGCATTCAATCATCTTTCAATAGGTGTGTGATGATCAAAACTTATGAAACAGCGCACTCCCACAGCCTGCCACTCTCTTTATTAACCAGGGGGGACCAACCCAATTTAGTATTGCCCAAAAACTTTTCTTGTGCGAGGGTTGCTTAACCCCTGGTGGTTTATTGATCCTGACTTGACATTACCTGGCAAGCCTCAGGACTGGCAATTACTGGTATCAGTCTATTTAAAAAAAAAAAAAAACATTTTTCCAAGATTATGGTTTCTCTTGTCGCTCCAGAACGCTCCTTGTCACTCCTGAATGGTTTGGTCGCCGGAAAGGATATGCTGAATGAAACGTGAACATTTTCTGAACATTTTTCGAATGTTGTTTGAATGCTGTTTGAAAATTATTTGAGCGCAATGCAAATGCAATCGCTTCATCAGCACAGTTTTACACCCGGATTTTTTTTCATCCCGCCCTTCAGAAAAGTGTTTTTGGCGAGCGGACTGATAATTACCAGCCCCGAGGCTTCTCAGGTATTTGACATGAAGAATGTGTCATGTTGACAAGCATTGTCTCTTTGAAAAGTGAAAGTGCTTCTAAACAATGCAAAAACACTTGGATTCAAAAAGTGTCTTTTGAGCCTCAAAGCAATTTCTTGAATCTTGAATCCGTTGTGGTATGGGAAGCGCGCGGTAGCAACAAATTGCATTGTTCCCAGCATGTTCTCAGTTAAAATGTATCAAAATAAAAATATGTTGGTTTCATTTTCAATGACCACCAAAACCAAAAGTGCCAAACAACCTAGAAGCATAGGTTTTTGGGGAGGCGGGTACCATATATAAAGGAGATGGATCAACGGCGAAAAAAAAAACGTTCCCCTACAACCACCCCTAGGTTCCTGTGAGGCAGACCAAAGTCGACGATTGGCCCATGGTAACCAGCTTGCAGCATTTGCTTGGTTGCGCATGGCGTGTTTGGGTGGAAACTGTTGTGCACATAAAACTCTCGAACGAGCAGTCTGTTTGGCGGCCTTTTTTGGTTCAGAACTCCGCGGTTAAGGCAGGGCGGAGGGTTGCTCGCGTGCAAAATGCCTGGCTCACAGCGAATCCTATCGGTGGATTGCAAGATTCGAGCATCAGTCAATGGATTCCTTTCAGGGAAGGTTGCAGGACCCGATTGTTCTTACCCCCGCATAAAGGTACATAGAGGGGTTTCCTGAACATGTTGCCTTACAACCATTCTGGCTACCCCCATGCCCCCAAGGCTCCAAGGCTTTAGGTGGGAAGCCGGTCATGTGTCCCAGGCCAGTGGCTTTCATCACAGTGAAACTGCCCAATGGCAGCCTCGTGCTAGACCCAAGCCACCACTTGTGTAAAATTTCAGCTGTGTTCCACTCCAAGCAGCCTTAGGATTCACATGATTCACACCATTTCGCAGCTATTTGTTTCCCTCCGCCAGGAAAAACAAATGTTTCAAAATCATTCAGCATGTGTCAAACACAGGGCTGTATTATTTTGGATGACATTCCGGACGCTCTTTTATGTTTTCCTTTGTCTCACACAAAGTCCTTTTCTATCTCTTACCACCAAGAGTGCCGAGTGAATCCAAATCTACTCACTCATTTGGATGATGGTGTGACACGTTTTTTGTTTTCACCCCCAGCGAATTGGGATTTTCCATGGTCGTTGTTTCACACACTCCCAACTCCACCGCTGACACTTTTGAGGTCCATTTGGATGTTGACCTGAAGACCCGGATCGAGGCGGGTGACTCGTGCACTGCTTCGACACTGCTGAAATGTAAGTGTTACATGAAACCCTCATGAGATCAACAACGGATGCAGTGGAATTTTGATGAATTTTGTAGAAGCCCTGTGACCCTTTCAAGTCTACAGACAGAATTGTGTTTTTGCGTAGCGGGAGACTTTTCTAATCGCATGATTTGTCGCAGGAGTTTCGATCTATCCTAGCCCCAAAGCCTCGAGCTCGGGGGAAACACAACAGAAATCCATTGAGATCCAGAGTCTCTACATGTCACATACCGAGCGTATCGTATCGCATTGCAGCGTGAATTCCTTCGGATGTCTCTCGTGCCCAAAATTGCAAAAACTGCTTGTGTTGCAGAGCTTGACAATTCAGACTGTGCCACCAATGTTCAATCCAACATGGTACTTTCTGGCGTTCCCGCTGTCAAGCCGCTTTGCAGCGACGACAATCCTGCATGCAAGGTGCGGCATCAAGCGACATCGGCAACGCTTGGTCTTTGCAGGTCGTTTATTGCAGGAGAGAGATGGCGTGGTTCATAACGGAAACCTGCCAGTTCAAAGTAGGTCTTTTGCGGTTTTTACTAGTTTGGGATTGTCAGTGCATGGTATTTTTTCTCCCTGGCAATTATGAGTCCGGATCTAAGACTGAGTCCATGCGGCGCAGACTGTTTTAGCAGGATGGGCGGACCCTGGAAGCCTACGGCGTCGACAGGAACAGCACCATTCACTTGCATGAAGCTCAGTCCCGCCATTTTGGTGCTGAGAATGATGAAAAACATGAAAAGCACAATCTTGCCATATTTTGGCCATATTGGCGTGGGGGATGCTGACACTGGCTGGGTCTTCAACACACATCTTGGCTGAAGCCTCAAAAGGATGTTATGGCAGATCTGCAGCAAAGGTGAATCCATAATATGATCTGATCAACGAAGAACAAACCCTTCCGCGATTGCTCACTGTGGTACCGCGGTTGCTACGCGATTGGCTGAGCGATTGAGGGCTGTCCGGGAAAAGGTATTTTGGACAACCCCCATATGAATGAATCCCTTGAATTTTGAAAGAAAACAAAAAAACAAGCAGTTCTCATGATCTTCCAAAATTCTCTATCGTGCCACAAAAATCTCCACGATGTCCAGGAGCCTTGCTGTCAGTTGTGAGGTTGCATGGCCAGCAGGGTGGTGCTGATGTGGGGCCCTGAGATGGCCAAGGGGACATCGGACAACCCCACGACATCCCACAACCATATCCCAACCAAGTGGTGGATTCAACCGACACTGCAGCAGATGAAAAATATCCCAGTTCCACCACTAATAACTAACAGCGGCACCTACTTCATATAGACCTGCGTTAGCATTTACTATTTACTGCAGGTTTTTGCTATATACGGCTTCAAACATGAAAGATTAAAATGCAGGGTTTCAGACTTTTTTAGAAACACCAAACAAGAAGCGGTACACGAGGAATTACGATTTTATCAGCGCAGGAGAAGACATTCTGACAAACCGTCAGGTATCCATAGGGATTTGGGGTACAAATGGTGGATCGGGGTCCCACGAGCGAAAGAATCAACTGATCTCAATGAGGCCATGTCCACAATGGGATATACTGATATACACAATACTGGCAGTTTTGCCGGGGTGTTTTTTCTAACAATGCCCAAACCATTCTGTATAATATATATATATATGTATAACTTATATAACCAAAGGAAGTTTAGAGGTCTATACTTCCGTGTTACGGATCTTTGGAAATCACTGCAATGGAAGTCACCTGCGATGAATGTCACTGCAATGAAGGTCGCTGTAATGACTGTTACCACAATGACTGTCAAGCCCCAAGCGGCAAACTGTAGAATTGCATGCTTTCTTCGAAAGTGAAATTTAAACAGCGTGCCGTAGGGTATTGAGGGGCCTCTAGGTTGATCAATTTCTTTGAGGGCACTTGTTGCTAGAAACCTGTAGCTAAACGTGCATTCCACATGGAATGCACAGGCGACTAGCATTTAGGGAAAGCAAAGGTTGGATGTGTTTTTTTTCAAGGAGTTATGTAGCCAAAAGCGTTCAATTCTGGGATTTTCAGGTTAGAGCTGGCCTTGGACAATTTGGCGCACCTACTTGTAGGGATTTTCCGGCGACATTTGCTGGGGATATCTTGGCGCTGGCAAATGGAAAACATGCAGCTGAAACTGTTCGTCGTCACATGATCCAAACACATCATTCAGAAATTGTCAAAAGGTAAGGCGTTTTTGTACATTGAAGTCAAAATCGGAGGGTGGCGACGGTCCGTGTTACCATATTTTTGGGCCACGTAGTTCGATAAGCATCCCAACTTCCACGAATGCATGTCCATGTCATGTGGGACACACGTTTGACTACACGGTTTTGGCACCGTCCAGTGCGCTTCTTCATCTGACTGGGACATTTTTTGCAAGTGGTTCCAATGTGGTTCCAACAGTGATCAATTTGCTGCGCACCAGCCATCTTAGTCTTACATGTAAGGTTAGCACGTATAGTGACACAGAGATGACACAGTCAAAAAAGAAAAAAAAAACTAGACGACGGATGGCCCGAGAGCGTAGAGGAGCAGGGTCTTCTCTTGTTAGTATGGAGATGCAATTTTAGAAACGGTATATGAAAGCTGTGTTATAGGCAGTCGAGAAGAGGAGTATCAAGACAAAATAGTGAGAAGTGCAAGACAATAGTTTGCATCGCAAACACTTTTACACACAGACGCTTTTACACAGACGCTTTTACACACAAAGCTTTTACCCACAGAAGCTTTTACACACAGAAGCTTTTACATACAGAAGCTTTTACACACAGAAGCTTTTACATACAAACACTTTTACACACAGACGCTTTTACACACAAACGCTTTGACACACAGACGCTTTTACACACAGACGCTTTTACACACAGACCTTTTACACACAGACGCCTTTACACACAGACACTTTTACACACAGACGCTTTTTACACACAGACACTTTTTACACACAGACGCTTTGACACACAAACACATTTACACACAGACGCTTTTACACACAGACGCTTTTTACACACAGACGCTTTTTACACACAGACGCTTTTACACACAGAGACTTTTACACACAGAGACGCTTTTACACACAGACGCTTTTACACACAGACGCTTTTACACACAGACGAAAGGGTTGCTCCGGCACAGGAAAAATCGCAATTTTACCTCAGTTTCTACCGATCGACCCTCATTTCGTGCGAAAGGGTTGCTCCGGCACAAGTCAAATCGCAATTTTACCTCAGTTTTTGCCGATCGACCCTCATTTCGTGCGAAAGGGTTGCTCCGGGGCAAGTAAAATCGCAATTTTACCTCAGTTTTTGCCGATCGACCCTCATTTCGTGCGAAAGGGTTGCTCCAGGACAAGTCAAATCGCAATTTTACCTCAGTTTTTGCCGATCAACCCTCATTTCGTGCGAAAGGGTTGCTCCGGGACAAGTAAAATCGCAATTTTACCTCAGTTTTTGCCGATCGACCCTCATTTCGTGCGAAAGGGTTGCTCCGGGACAAGTAAAATCGCAAATTTTCCTCAGTTTTTGCCGATCGACCCTCATTTCGTGCGAAAGGGTTGCTCCGGGACAAGTAAAATCGCAATTTTACCTCAGTTTTTGCCGATCGACCCTCATTTCGTGCGAAAGGGTTGACGTTTCGTGACTCGCCGCCGGCACCACCCTCGGCCTTAAGAGAGAAAGATAAAAAGAAGGCATGAGAGAGAAGGTGAGCAGGTGTGAAGATAAGAAGATGTGAAGATGAGCAGATGTGAACATGAGCAGGTGTGAAGATGAGCAGATGTGAAGATGAGCAGATGTGAAGATGAGAAGATGGGAAGGTGTGAAGATGAGCAGATGTGAAGATGAGCAGATGTGAAGATGAGCAGGTGTGAAGATAAGAAGATGTGAAGACGAGCAGATGTGAAGATGAACAGATGTGAAGATGAGCAGATGTGAAGATGAGAAGATGTGAAGATGGGAAGATGTGAAGATGAGCAGATGTGAAGATGAGCAGATGTGAAGATGAGCAGATGTGAAGATGAGCAGATGTGAAGATGAGAATGAGCAGATGTGAAGATGAGCAGATGTGAAGATGAGCAGATGTGAAGATGAGCAGATGTGAAGATGAGCAGATGTGAAGATGTGAAGATGAGAAGATGTGAAGATGAGAAGATGTGAAGATGAGCAGATGTGAAGATGAGCAGATGTGAAGATGAGAGGATGTGAAGATGAGAGGATGTGAAGATGAGCAGATGTGAAGATGAGAGGATGTGAAGATGGGAAGGTGTGAAGATGAGCAGATGTGAAGATGAGCAGATGTGAAGATGAGAAGATGTGAAGATGGGAGGGTGTGAAGATGAGCAGATGTGAAGATGAGCAGGTGTGAAGATAAGAAGATGTGAAGATGAGCAGATGTGAAGATGAACAGATGTGAAGATGAGCAGATGTGAAGATGAGAAGATGTGAAGATGAGGTGTGAAGATGAGAAGATGTTTTACAGACCCCCACTATTGGAAGAACCCTGCGCTCAGACGCTCTCGGGAAAAAATATATGAGGTATGTTAGATCGCGCAAAAGAAAAATCACAACAACATAGCATCCCGTGCGTGCAAGTGCAAGAGAAGATATCATAACGTAGCATCCAATGTGTGTGCAAGTGCGAGAGTAGATCTTACAATGTAGCATCCCGTGCGTGTGGAAGCGCAAGAGAATATATCATAACGTAGCATCAAATGTGTGTGTGTGCAGGTGCAAGATGATCTTACAACGTAGCATCCCGTGTGTGCGCAAGTGCAAGAGAAGATCTTACAATGTAGCATCCCGTGCGTGTGCAAGTGCAAGAGAAGATATTTTAACGTAGCGTCAAGTGTGTGCCTGCAGGTGCAGCACAAGATCTTACAAAGTAGCATCCCGTGCGTGTACAAGTGCAAGAGAATGAGAAGATCTTACAATCTTACAATGTAGAATTCAGAACGTTACATCGTAGCATTCAGAATGTTAGCAAGTGCAAGAGAACATGAACGTTAATTCCCAACTTCACCCCACCCATGCAGCATGATAGTAGAAAACACAACGCGTCTAGGGTTGTGAGAGTATGTGTCACCAAACGCAAGACTATGTTAGACTTGGCCTTGAACTTGGAAAGGCTGTTTTTCACCATGCACATTACACTTCTCAGCAGACAACCACCATGACCCAACTTTCGGAGCAAAACCGTTTTAAACACGAACAATTCTGTCAATATTTATTTCGTTCTTGATAACAGGCAGGTTGGAGGCAAATTCATTCTTGGATCTTGGGCACTGAAACCCCTCTAAGGGGATAATTCTGCCTAAGTGAAGAAGAGTGCGGCACAGTCAAATCAGATTCCACTAGTTGTGAAGACATGGATTATGTTTCATTCAGATTATGTTTAAATATGTTTAAAATCATTGGGGTATAGTAGGTGCCCTAGAACTCCCACCCACCCTATCCTTGGATTAATTCTTGGTTAAACATATGCTGAAAATCAATCCAGCCATATTTAAGTACTGATCCTAGGTGGGTTCCTTCCCACCTCTAAGGCATGGGGTATTATTTTCCACTTTCAGTTTTGAGGGAAGTCTCCCACGAAAGCTTCGTTTGCACAAGTTGATGTTTCTCGTGTTTGGCGCTTTCCATTTCCATTTCCTTTAAATTTGATTTTTAAAAGCTTCATACTTTTTGTGGCTTTGGCGCCGAGACCCGGTTTTAGAGCAGGTTTTGGGCCAGGTCAGAAATGCAACATGTAAGTACAGAAAAGTAAAGATGACGAAAAATGAGATGACTTGAAAGAAGAAGAGAAAAGAATTGAAAAAAGAATACAATGGCTCCAGCAGATGAGTGAGGTAAAATAAGATGAGTTAAACAAGGTGAGATTATCTGAGTTGACATGAGAAGAGATCAGACAAGCTGAGATTACATGAGAAGAGCTGGGGTGGGCTGAGAAGAGGAGAGACGACGTGAAGGGAGATGAGATGAGATGATGTAAAAGAAGTTGAGAAGACCCGACATGAGATGAAATGAGATTGGATGAGATGAGATGAGATGTGAGATGAAAGGAGAAGAGACTGGATCAGATGAAGTGAGATGAACTGAGATGAGATGAGGTGCGATGAAGTCCACAGTGAGCCGACATGAGATGAGATCAGATGAAATGAGCAAGATGAACCAAACTTTTTTCAAGAGGTAATGGCACTGGAATGAAAAGTCAAGAGATCGTTGCTGCAAAGCACAGAAGGCTTGCATCCTATAGGCACCGTTTTGGCTCCGCTCTATGGGCTATAGGCATTTCAATTTTGAAACTTCACCCCCCCGGCTTGCCCGGACACTACATGTAACTTTGTTTTCATTTCAACGCCGTTTGTTCCATTTTCTCCAGGATGTTCATTGTCAACTTCATATTTTTTTTAGAAACATTGAGCTTTTTTTGTTTTCTCATTTCATTATTTTTAGTTTCAACTTCATGTCTTACATTTCCCCCGGATTTCATTACCAATTTCATGTTTTTTCTCTTTTTCAAAAAACATCGAGTGTTTCGTTTTATCATTTCATGTGTCACTTCAACTTTATTTCCTCCATTTTCCCCAGAATGTTTGTCAAGTTGAGTTTCTCTATGTTCATTTTCTCAAGGATATCAGTCATGTTCCAATCAGTTTGATCATTTTCCCATCATGTTGTTTTTCTTCCGCCCCCGGCTTGCCCGGGTACTACTTGTATATAGTTGTAGTATCTTATAGTGGTCCTGTCGTTTATACATGTTTATACACTAGTTTCGGACAAACCCATCCGCAAACTTCGACAGGGCCCTGGTGGGGTGGACATCAGCCAGATGCCGCCGCAATTGGCCGCGCTTCAGCCTGGAGCCCGGGGACTCCGGAGGTAAACAGAAGTGGATAGAAAGTTGGATTTGCCAACAAAAATGGTGCATTTTGTCCAAATGTGTTTTATCTTGTGGTAAATCTGACTATAATCATGCCACTGAGAATGATTGCCAATATCAACAACAACTACTGAGCTCTTGTCTCAAAGCTGTTTGGTGGTTTGACCACACAGAACTGGGTTGGTTGACCAGCAAGCACGGGGATGCAGTGCATGTTACTTGTCCATCCGCTTTGGGGGATGATTGGGTCCCAATTGACTACCATGTTGCAGGATGTTGCAGGTGGATTGAAATCGCAACGCAAAAAAGATGCTGGACATCCTGAAACATATTAAATAAATTTAAATAAATCATCTGAAAAGACTGAATTTATAACATGCCAAATCCAAATTGCGGCCCTGGAGTCAACATGAGTCAACTATCTTTCAGCTTTGACAGCTGCAAAAGTTGGTCAGTAGCTAAGGAGACACGTCCTTCAGAATCCAGACATTCTGCAGCAGATGCTGGAGGACAGCGTGCGAAGAGCACGAATTCTCCGGCCTTCGGTTTGTTGTTGATGTTTTTTGCCACATGCTAAGCATGATGCAGGTTTGAGTATAGATCATTTGTTCGGATTCCCCGAAGGAAGTCAGCTTTTGTTCCCCAAACAGTGTGGCCACACTTGGGCTTCTTACGGTAGGGGTTAATGCTTGGTGTTCATTCGAGGTGGTCTCCGGGGTGTGCAGCGTTTTTGATAACCTTCATGCAGCACAAATTTGAAACGTTCCTTCAGCTTCCGTTGTTCGTGGAAGTCTCGCACTTCACTTGGGCGTGGGATCCGTGAACGGCAAATTTGGTGACCCCTACAAAGCTCCTTCATCTTCCGTTCTTGATGGAAGTCTCGCACGAAATGGTCTCCCCGGAGATCTCTCGCGCAACCATCTCGTCACCTTGGGCCTCTCAGATATTTTGCGATCGCTCCCACAGCCCTCTTGCACTCTTGGGCCTCTCAGATCGCGGAGTGAATTTTGAGATCGCTCGCGCAACCTTCTCCTCACTTTGGGCCCCTCGCATTGCTCTCGTTGTGGTGCGGTGCTTATTTTGCTATTTGAGATCTTGTGCAGAGATCTTGGGAAGGAGGTCTTTTACAGCGAGCTGGCGCAGAGGGCTTGCCACGGGGACCTCTTATAGAGATCTTGTGTACAGAGACCCCTTATAGAGATGATCTTGCCAAGGGGTCTCTTACAGAGATCTTGCCAAGAGAGCCCTTATAAAGAGCTTGTGCAGAGATCTCTGAAACAGATCTTGCCGCGAGACCTCTTTTAGGGAGCTTGTACAGAGATCTTGCCAAGAGACCTCTTATAGAGATCCTGTACAGAGGCTGCCAAGAGGTCTCTAGCAGAGATCTTGCCGGGAGATGTTTCTTAGAGAGCTTGTACAGAGATCTTGCCAAGAGACTTCTTGTAAAGATTTTGTACATAGACCTGGTGATCCTGGTGAAGAGAACAGAGATATTGCTCAGGGATCTCATAGAGTCTGGGAGTTTGAACAGAGATCTTTCTTTTAGATTTTTCACAGAGAGCTTCTGTGGGGATCTCTTTTAGGCACCTTGTACAGATAGCCCTACAAAGTCAAAGGGATCTTGCACAGCAGCTTCTACACAGAACCTGTCACGGAGACCTCGCACCCGATCTTTTGCAGACATCTTCGCAAAGGGAACTAGCAGAATCTAACCTGGTATCTCCATATCTCTTCTTCATGTTCCTTGCAACACTGTTTGGGGTCTCTTGCCGGGATAATTTTGACATCCACATTCTTGCCTGTGAAATGCTCCATCCAACCAGTCAAATCCATATTTTGGCATGGTCAATCCATTTCTTGCAGGTGAAATATGGTGAAATTCTACAAAAGTCCGAACATGACTTCATTCCATCGGCCAGTCCCCAGCGATGCAAAGTCTGCTGAACGATCACGACTTCATGCGGAGTTTGTTGAAGATGGACCCACGGCTGTCGAAGGCAACAGCATGGTGGAGTGGGGGATAGCAAAGGGGTTGGGGAACGATCAATCGACTGTCACAAGAGAGGGAGAGAGAGAGAGAGAGAGATCCACCGTTTATACCGTATACATTGTCATTGTCGTACTTGGCCTGTATCCCATTTTCAGCGGGTTTTGTCACTTTGTCAGCTATTTCATGAGTTTGTCGATTTATTGCTTGCATTCTCAGTCAGTGTTGATTGATTCCAAGTAAAAGTGCAGCCCTGGATATCTAATCATTTGTTGGCTGTTTACCATATTTTCATTGGTATATAGCCCAGTCCAATACCGTTTTGTTAGTAATGCAGAGGCTTCCTGTAGCTGTTTGTTTCCTACTTCTGGTGATGGGTATCATGTGTTACACCCTATCCTCGGTGCTTGTCCATTTAGCTTGATTTGGCGACCTTCCATCAAGTGTTGGTCCATGTTGGTCCGCCTATACCGCGTATACCTTTTTTTCATCTTTTGGGCCCCTTTTATATCGCAATGTCGTTAAGGAATAATGTCATAATATATATATATATATATCACCTTATCCCTTATATATACTTATATTAGCATCTCTGGTATCAATCATATAGGCATCAAATAGGCATATAGGTCACCATATCGCCATTCTCATCCCCAACTCCCCAATCCCTGACGTTTCTTTTGGTGACTGTGCGGTCACTCGCCTGGGCCAGCTCTTGGAGAACTGCCCTGAGCTGAATTTGATGCTGCACGACCCAGAGGTCATGAAGCAGGTGGGGGTTGTCCCACCTCACCTTCCATCACCCTTTATTTTTCGGCCATTGATCACTCAAACGTGGAAGAAATCAAAATATGACCTACTGGTAACGCCACTTGCGAATGGGGTGACCTGAGCTGCAAATCATCAGTTGCTAATTGATCTTAAACATAATTCAAGCATGTTATATCACATTATAGCTAGAGCATACTAACATTATAAGTCAAGCATGCTAAAGCCGGGCTATAACCGGGCTTTAGCCGGGCTTTAGCCGGGCACCAGACCTGGAGGCCACAGAAGCTTTGCGGAACCCTGTTCACGTCCGTGGGAGCCTCAGAATGGTTGCCTTTGGAAAATCGTTTCGAACGGAAGAGCCAATGAAGATTTGATGATTTTGCATGGTGATGGTGGTGATGATGATTTTGGATGACGATTTTGGATATTTTGGATGATGATGATGATGGTGATGAGGATGATGATGATGGTGATGGTGATGGTGATGAGGATGATGATGATGATGATGATGATGAGGGTGGCCTTTAATATGAGATGTTCATATCTTGGCAGCACCTTGAAGATTTGTTGAGTAGAAACGATCCTACAAGGGTGCACAAAGCACTTGCAAGACATCGACTGACTGGGACTTTGGGGAAGTAGATTGAAGATGATTGAAGTGGTTCACGCAGGGCCACGGTGCCTGAGGATATGCGAGTTGCTCCAGTGGTTCGGTGTCATATGATCAGAATTAGCATTTGAAAGCGGTGTGAAAATTCCGTCTTAGACATAGAGATCAGAACATTTTCAGAACTGGAAAATGTGGGCAGAGGCAAAATTATGAGTTTCAATATGTTTCAATTGGGCGTATGAAGGCCATGGTGACCTGCAGGTGACGTGATCCGCAGCACAGATCGCTCCATGTCACAGCTTGAGGCGCAGGATGCACAGTGAATGGACATGGTGTCAAGCAATCCATGTCCGTATACTGTATCTGTCAATATCTACATTGGGAAATATAAATGCAAATTTATATATATATAATAAATATATATATATGGGAGTCGATCTAAAGGTCCATTTAGGATCATTTAGGGATTTTCCATTACGAAGGCCGCCAGTGTTACAACATGATGAGACCCTGCGTTTTTTCCGGAGCTCGCGAAAGTATGTTTTTTGGCGAAAGACTTAGCGAAAGATTTATTTTGATCAGGTGGTTTATCAGGTGGTTTTAATATTGTTTTGTCTTTCTGGGTGTGAAGTGAAAACCTTTTGAATTGATTTGTGAATGGCAGGAATAGAATAGACACACGTGCTATTTTGTAATCAAGTGGAGCTGCACCCGCAAGCACGGTTCAGGGTGTGGATTGTCTGTTCGATTTGCAAAGGATTTTCCGCGAAAGTTCTGCGAAAGCATTGACGAAAGAGATGGTGTCCATGGAAGCTCTTAGCCCACACAGCACCTTTGCATTGTCAAGGGAGGCTGGAAACAATGAAACTCTGTTGTTTATGGCAATGGCCTTGCACCTACCCTTGGGTGTCTCAGATCACTCACACAGCTGCCGTTTACATGCAGTTTGACTGTGTCTCAGCAGCACAAAAGTGGACAACCAAAACCCCGCGAAAGAAAAACGTAGGCTCGCGAAAGTATATATAAATTTAGCCCCTTGGGAATTTCCCCTATAAAACGGAAGTACCCGGGTTATAACTCTCCATTTTGCTGGCTCTATAAAATGTTTTCTTTTGAGGTTTACAAAGCACTTCTTTGTGGGCTTTGGCATTCTCCAAGGTCAACGCTGGCCTCCATTCTATAGAGCGTCTTTTGGTGGATTTTCTGGAAGACCCGACCCTATGTTACCCATGTCCCCATTTTATAGAGGCCAATGCTTTGGGGGTTGTTTCAACATGAATAATTCGTTGCCCAAGCTGCACCACATGGTTCAAACAACAACAATCAACAACAAGCAACAACCACCCACCCACCCACCCACCCACCCCCCACCCACCACCCACCCACCCCACCCCCCCACCCACCCACGCACCACTCACTCACTCAAACAACAACAACAACGACAACCACGACAACAACAACAACAACAACAACAACAACATCAACACCAACAGCAGCAGCAACAACAGCAGCAACAGCAACAACAGCAACAACAGCAACAACGAGAATAATTTTGACAATTTCAGCTAGCCACACATTGGAAATCCCAAAAATGTTCCTTCTCAATTTGCTATCATGTTAAACATCACCCAAAACATCACAAAATCATCAAAATTTTGTCGAAACCGTATGAGGTTAGTTTTCCATCGTCACGGAATGTTCGCAAAGCACGACTGTTATAGCTTGGCGCAACAAATCCTGCCAGGGTCGCCAAGATCACTGGGCAATCGCACCGGTAATGGTGAATATACAATCCATATGTGCGTTTCAGGTTCGAAGACAATTCAAAAATTCTCCTTTAATTCGAAAATAATTCGAAAAATGAAGTGAAAAGTGTTTTTGCGATTCGGAAATAATTTGAAAATGTGTTTTCTGTTCGAAAATAGTTCAAAAAAACGAAGGAAAAAACAAAAACAAACGAAAAAAACGAAAATACATCGACAAAAACGAGAAAAAAAAGATGTTTTTTTGCATTTTTGGATTTAGTCAAATTTGATTTGAAAACGGAAAAAATCGGCAAGAATCGAAAACAAAAACGAAATCAATCGAAGAAAAATGCAGAAACAAAAACAAATCGAAAAAAAAAGAAGGAAAATCGAGTTTTTTTGCAACAATGTGTGGGTTTTGCCCAATTTGATGCACTTTGATAATTTTTCCAACTCCCGAAAAGGGCCGCAGCAGCTCTGGAGGCTCTTCTCCATGTCCGAGGATCCGGGCGACCGTGATCTTTTGGCGAAAATTTCAATGATGATCCACATGAATACACAAGAACAGCTGTCCAAGCAGGTGAAGACTTTGAGATGATTTTGATGATAACCAAAATGTTGTTTTTTGTTAAAAAATGTTTTGTGGACTCCAGCCTGTGGCTCTCAAATGGTCATAAAACAACAACAACAACAACAACAACAACAACAACAACACCAACACCAACACCAACACCAACAACTCCAACATTGCTTAATTGGCAGGGATTTCCAAGATACGCAAGATGATCGAAAATACAGTGGGAGCAAAACACTTCACATTTATGATTTATGTATTCTATGTCTCATGCAAGAATGCATGGTTGAACCAGTTACCGCCAGAACCTGCTAGATATTTTCCAAGTTGACATAGTATGACCCAAGGTCGATGTATCTTTCAAAATTCGGTCAGCACACATTTACGTGGCAGGCCCTCATGATAGGCACAACAACTATGCAAGCATGCTTCCCCCTTCTTGGCTGAATACAGAACAGCCAGAACAGCATCAGCTAGCCCGGAGCAGGCACCATTCTGACATGTGCTTACCAATTTTCTGGGCTCACTGGCCTCCGTTGCAAGGCCATCTTTGCCAACACAGCCCCTTTGAATCCTTCTCTAAAATGGGAGATTGATTTTTTGTTGCAGGGTGTTGCGTCTATAAAATGGAAACAGGTGAAATCAGGACAGGCTAGATTGCCGGCACCGCCTCTCACATCCCAGCACCTAAGGAATCCCTCCCCATCCCTCTTCTGTAAAATGGGAGCTGAATCAGCCCTGAAATCAAATCGGAAACAGATCCAAACCTCTTTGAATCTGATTCAATCGAAGTCAGGAGTCTCCCCAGCACTTTCCAGATCCTTGCAACCAGTCTATAAAATGGGCAACACACGTGTAAATCACACAAAAATTATTCATTTTATAGACATCGTTCGTGATGGGTTTGCAAAAAAAGAAACAAGATGATATGTGTCAGTGCAAGTATGCATAAGGCATAAGTTTAAGTTCATACCGCTACCAGCCAATACATGTCCGTACCCATGTATGGCCAAAAGCTGCTAAAGAACCGAAAATTGCGCCTGGTATTTTGCACTCGTCGTTTGCCATCTTCCAGCGGCTTCCCTTGTGTATACCTTGATACGTTTTTGGATCCTGTTTTTTGGCTCGCTCTTGCTGGATGGGGAGGGCGGCGCTTGGCTGATGTCTGTCATATCTGAAAGCATCTGTGTTTGTGGTTCTGGTATGTTCTGGTTTCATAAGCCGTTTTTGCTTGTTTGGGTCCCGAATGCTGCTTTGCAATTCAAGTGCTAATCGCCGAATATTAACCTATGTTTGAGACGCAGGTCTGTGAAGCTGTGCGGAAATTGCTTCTATTGTGCCGTTTGTGTGCCCGTTGATTTTCTTGTTCGCGAACGGCAAAGTTCTTTTTTGATTGCGCAAAAATTGCAGACTTCTTTGCACAAGAAAATTCACGAAGGGACTCAACAAGCGCAACTCAGCAAGGCCTGGCATGGCTGATGATGGTTCGCCTCTGTAAAATCGAGAACCCTTTGTGACCTAAGGGAAGTCCGGCACTCCTACTCCATGACCCCTGCTCCCCATTCTATAGAGGTTCAAAAATGGACCACTCAATAGTCAGGAACTCGGAGGCTATTTTATAGACTCTGTACGCCCTCCCATTTACTAAATTTACCTGTGTACCCTGATTTTATCGGGTAGAGGTCTCGCTTCGAGAACCTGCTAGTGCAGCGCTTCGGGAGCCCACTCATGCATCGCATCGGGTGCTTTCTGTAACTACCACACCGCGGGCACTGTAACGCACTACCGCTACCGCTAAAACTACCACTAAGTACTAGTACGCGCTACCTCATATTGTTGCGCACTGCAGGGATCCTTCCATGTGATTCTGATAGGATGTACTATATGTACTGCTGCGTACTACTATATACTGAAACGTAGAACTAGCTAGGAAAACATACTGCTGCGTAATGCTACATAATGCTACGCTACACAATGCTATACAATGCTACATGCATACAAAATATGTCTTGTTTTCAAACTCCCTATAGTTGAAAGTTCGAATTTCAAACTATAGGTGATACGGTTTCCATCCATGCATCTTGGTTTGAAATTTAGATGTCAGCTGTTATCTCAGATCCTCCTTTTTCTTTGGATTATAATTTGAATTTGAGTTCTGGCCACATTGCAACAGCTAACATTTGAATTTTGTCTGTTGCTACCTGTTGGGTTTAAAATTTGATTTTGCTTTTGCACCACCGAATGTCTGCACTCAGTTGAAATTCAATGTTTGGACCAGTTCTTTGTTTGATTTGAACTTTGAATTTCCACCTCCGGATGGAGCATGCAGTTTGGACGATATCTTTGAACCAGCTTGGTGACAGCATTGTATATTAGCCTGCCATCTCTTGTGTGATAGTGGCAAATGCCGGGTCAAGTTGTGGAAGGAGAGGTAGCAACCAACCGACGCCGCAAAGCATGGACCACGGTGGCCGTTGAAGACGTTCCATCGGGGCAGACTCTAAGAGCTGCTGGTCAAGCATGGTTGAACTCTAGGAAGAAAATATATAAGACACTCACTGCTTCAACTTTCCAAAACAAGACCACGCTGATAGCTCGCTGCAAGGAGTGTGTTGACTGTGACCAACAGTTTTCTTGTGGGTGGACAGAGGCTGGACAATTGCGAGTTGAAGAAAGTGGGAAATGCACCGGAAACAAGAATGCTGCAGTCTTGAAAAGACATTATGCCAAAGCATTCGCCAATCAGACCCCTCTGCGAGCTCTGAAGAACATGCGCCTGAAAGAAATTAGTGCAGATCTTCGTCCGCCGGTGCAGCAGATCAAGAATTACAGACACATGCTGTCCTCTAAGGAGAAGCCTGAGGCTTATTCTGTGGAGTGCTTGGGTGAGCTTCGTGCATTCATAGATGACCCTTCGACTGACGTGAAAATCTTGACAGATTATGTTGTTCTTTTTAAGGATCGCGTTCTATTACCGTTCTGTGTGGGTTCTACCAACTCGGATTTCACTTTCAAGACCAACAAGGAGGGACTGCTCTTTTGGGATGTTGTGGTCCTGCTGGCCTTCACGTTCTTCCAGGCAAACCGCCTTCGATGCGCGTGATGCCCAGGTTCTTCTTGCTGTCGTCTTCGGAAGACGCCCCAGCGCAGCAGTTGTTACTAAATCTCTTTGTGGCTCGCAGCCAAGAGCTGGAGGTGGAGGTGACTGACCTCTTTTTGGACTGCGCGTGCTTTCAAGGTGTGTCATCAGACATCGGGGCTCAGCAGCTGGACATCAAGCTTCATCGTTGTTTGGAGCATGTCTCATGGCATGATGCATCATTTAGCATTGTTAATAGCTCATGTTCAGGAGTTGGTATAGGTAGCTGGATCATTTCTTGCTTGTGTGCTGGTGGCTTTAGGCGGGTGAAAGGCATGCAAACAACATCAAGACAGATCATCCATGGGTTTGTTTCATATTCAAGACCTTGAATTTAAATTATCTAACTTTAATATCATACATATCCTGGGGTAGTTGAGATTGGGATATTTTTAAGCGTTGACAATGCAATGCTTTGTATTTTGTTCCTGGCGAGTGATCCATTCTGGCTTCTGGACCTGCTTTTCCTCCTATGAGTCTTGCTGAGGTCAAGCGGAATATTCGATCGGAATCCACTCGGCGCGACAGATTGGCTGGAAAACCCCGTCTATCCAATGTTGAACTGCTGCCTGTTCTAATCGGTTTTATAGAATGGACCTCTGGGTTGCACTCGATCAATGAATTTAGTGCTGTATGGACCTCCATTTTGAGCCGCATGAAACAGACAGAGGCAACAACAGACCGGAAGGAGTCGGCTATGGCCAGCTATCTCGAAGACCACATTCTCACCAAAGACGGTCCTTTGATCAGTGCACCGTGGCGTACTGGGCTTGGACATATTCCACTGGGCTTTTCTACTTACGCGCCCAATTCCATGGAGGTGGCGCACAGGGTGTTGAAAGGAATGTTGGATCCGGGATACCAAAGACGGGATGTCAGGACGTTGCTCAAAGAAGTGTGTACCACCAGTGTGGCCACAAAGGTGGAAAAGGGAGACTACAAGGATTTGCAATCTACCCTGCCGGAACCATGGAATGACCTGTTGCAATCAAAGCGTGCGAAGCAAGTAGTGTCAGGCAAAGATGACACGGGGCAACAGCAGAAGGCAAGGCTGCTGGGTATGTTTTTCTTTTCCTCCATTTTTGAGCTCCCAGATTTTTCCCGGAACAGTGCCGAACACGGATTCGAAGTATTAGGCTGCATGGGGCTTACATGGATTGGTTGTGTTTCATGTCTGTTTCTTGCCCAAAGTGTCCAGACTGAGAGGTTCTTGCGGTAACTGCAAAGGCCAGTGTACGGCGTGTGAGATTGGTACATGATGATGATTTGTCTAGAAGACCCTTCTTTGACGATTTTGTCTGCAGGTTCGAAAGCTGACGCGCGGTGATTTGTTGAACCACTTCAGGGCCCACGGAGCTCGCAAGACGTACCTTGCAAGCACATGTGCCTTCGAGGTTGCCAATGGTGAACAGGCACGTGCGACGTATGTCATGCCAAAGTACACCCTCTAACAAGGAACCGGAGGAAATGAGAGCCATGATGCGTGTTGCCACTGCAACTTCCATGGATGAGGTCATGCGTGCCATGGAGCTCCCTGAAACTGGTACGTATGATGTGTGTCGACACCAGCGGCTTCGCAGAGCTTACACCATCATTTACCTGCCAGAAGGTGGCAATGCTGGATATTCACCTTGACTTCGTCACAGGAGGGGGCTGGTCAGAGCATGCCATTTTCCTCTCTCAGCTGATGGCAGCTTGGAATACGTAGGGGCCGGAATCATCATCATGATGTACTTAGACAAGAGATTTGCACCTACTTTCTGTCCATGGAAACCACTTTCGGGCCTTGGATCGAGCTACGTTTCCCTGACTACAGTTCTTAAGTTGACGAGATGAGCAAATCTGGCACCTACGGAGATGACATCACCTTGATGGCAGCAGCGGCCTTGTAGGGCCCGATGCAGAAGCCCACGAAGGCATCCGCAAGTTCAACCCGCCAAGCAATGTCTCGGTGGAAGCATGGGGACATCCCATTGTCTTTGTCGATTGGTGTCACGAAGCTACGTGTCCTTTAGAAAGCCGGCCGCCTCTCGAAGCAGAGGAGCAAGTCAAAGCGAGCCGCGCTGAGCAAAGACACAAAAGAGATGCAATTCAAATTTCACCCCTTCTCAATCCATGGTACAATTTCATTGAGGAAATTGGCAGATATAAGATTCAGATTTCAGCTATGGAGATGCATAGCACAAGCCGGGCACCCAGAAAGTCTGAAATTCGAATTTCAAACTTCCAGGAGTCGAAATTCAGCCTCATCCTGTTACACTATATCTATATATATATATATATATGTATATATATATATATATATTTTTTGTTTGACTACTTTTGCTAAAATATACTGTGGCGTATTACTACGTGCTAGTATTTATGCAGGCATACGTCCAAGTGTGTGTACTAGTAACATCTAGTAACTTTCTGTTAGTATTTCTGTCAGGCTCTTGCGATTGCGATTTACGCCGTGCTTCTACGTTGTACTACCTGCTGATTCGCACTACTTCGTACCACTATGTACTAGTACGTGCTACTGCGTGTTAGTACATATACTACGACGTATTATGTACCATCACGCATTGTTATTTTGTGCCACTGGGTATCCGACGTACTACTACGTAATACGATGTAGTACGAAGTAGACTACCCAACTATGTACTTTGACGTACCTCTATAATTACGTAGTACTACCTATTATACAACGTACGTCTAGGATTCCGTTCCACCCCCCTTCCCCCCACCCTGCCCTTAACCCTAAAAGGTAGTGGTGCGTCGGTTTGGCAGCGCTATCACTGCTCAAGGAGGACATACCTAAAAGGTAGTGACAGGTGCCAAAAGTCAGTAGTAGAGTGAAGGGCGTGTCCAAGACATCACTTTGTGCACCTTGTTCCTATGTCTACTTCCCCCCACCCCACCCTTAACCCCAAAAGTAGTGATAGTGATAGGTCTAGGTGTAGGTGGGCGCCCAAAGTGATGCGCCATGAGGCGGCCAAAGTGATGCGGGTACCTTTTATAGAGTCTTGACCCCGAAAAAAAAAAACATTTTATCTATAAAATGTTGGTACCCTGGTTCGACGCTGAATTTAAAAGCGAATATTAAATGTATTTTGCTCGAAGAATGGCATCCGTTTGCACATGAAAGACTTTAGATGAACCGCAATTTACATATAATATATATATATATAATATTGGCTGGAGCAAACGATGATGTCAAAACTGATTGAAAAACAACATCCCCGTTTGTTTTCTGGAAGGTCTTGATAAATGTTCCAACATCTCTGTTAGGCAGCAAAATGTGGGATTTTACATTTGAAAACCCATATCTATGTCAGTTGTTTTGTATGGGTCTGGACATGGTGTTTTATATCCAGTGTACTCTTTGCATCATAGATTATCAGCCTACGTGAAAATATAAAAACAAAAATATGTTTCACATTTTCAAGTTTTCACATTATCATTTAGTTTCATATATTATCACACATTGACATGTTTATTTTCACGTATTGTCATATACTATCATGTTTCATGTATTATCATGTTTCGTTTTTTCTGTTATATGCTTGCACGTGTTTTCAGGTGTCATCATATTATGTTATTAAGTGTTTACGCGTTTTCATGTCTTATCATGTATGATAGTAGGTTAACACATGTTATCACATATTGTCGTATGTCAGCATATACGGTATCGTAATTTATTATCATATATCATCGATATCGATATGCCGCACACATCTGCTCTCAAATGAGTATATGATGGTGGTCTATTGCCAGTTTAAGTTTCCTGGTTGCACCAGTGACAACTGTATGTTTGTATATATCATTCCCGGCGTTAGTGCCGTGATCTGCCTTCTGCCTTCAGGAATGGCGGCAGTTGTCGAAACTTGACGTATATAGGTACCGGATGTTGCAACAAGATCGCCTTGTATAATATGTTGGAATCATATGGAATCATTTTCTAGGCCAACTTCAGTTTCTTTATAGTTTGGACAATTTCGATCCACTCCCTGGTGATGCTCAGAATCTTCGGCGTGTTGCCACATGGAAGCGGATGCTGGCAGGGACTCGGAACTGGCTCCTTCGATGTCCTCAGGTGCGCGGAAGCTAATGTGCTGAGGAAATGGCCAATGCTGATGCTTAGGAAACGCTATATTCAAAAAATATGTAGAAACATGATGGTATATGATGGTAACTATTCGGAATTAAGAATGACAAGGAATAATAAGACAAAAGAAAAGCTTGGAAAAAACAACAAGAAAAGAAAAGGAGGATGAGGAACATGAGGAGAGGAGGGCGCAGAAGTGCGAGGAGGGTGACCGTATTCACATCAATCAGAGTCCAGGCAAATGTGCGATGACATCCGTAGGCCGCTGCAGGACCACTGGGAATGGAATTTGTGCTGCCTCATGTATGCTGCGGTGGAATAATGACTTGTTGGGGACTGGACATGCATTCGCCGCATTATTTAAGAGAGTTGGTGATGCACAATTTGGAGTTTTTGTTGGTGTCTGTGTATTTGCACTACACGACTTGTGCCAAGTACTTCCCAGTACTACCTTGCACGACAAAGTTTGCAGAAAGTACCCCCCATACTACTTTGCACTACAACGCTTGCACAATGTTCTTCCCAGTACTACTTTGTACTACAAGACTTCCGCAAAGTACTCCCCATACTACTTTGTACTAATTGTACTACAACACTTGCACAAAGTTCTTCCCAGTACTTCTTTGTACTACAAGACTTCCGCAAAGTACTCCCCATACTACTTTGTACAACAACACTTGCACAAAGTACTTCCCAGTACTACTTTGTACTACAAGATCTGTATACTTACCAATACTACTTCGTACTACAAAACTTGTACAAAATACTTCCCAGTACCAGACTTACCGCACAAGGTGGTGGCGGAAGTTTCAAAGATAGGAAACCTATAGGGGAGGTATAGGGGAGGTGAGTTGTGCAAATGCATGGATGGCAGAGCAAACCCACTGATGGACCGATAAGTGGTTGAGGCTCTGAGCCTCCCTCTCTTTCTGTCTCTGTCTCCTCTCTGTGTCTCTCTGTGTCTTTCTGTCTCTACCCGTCTATCTCTACCCCTCTATCTCTATCTCTATCTCTGTTCTCTCTCTCTCTCTCTCTCTCGCTCTCTCTCCCTCTGTCTCTATCTTTCTCTACCTCCTCCTTCTCAATTCATCGAACTATCTTTCTATCTGCCTGTCTTTTTGTTTATCTGTCTGTTTCTGTCCCTTTATGTTTGTCTCTCTCTCTATCTCTCTATCGTTCTCTTTCTGTCTCTCTCTCTTTCACTATCTATTTGGTTCTCCCTCTTCATTTATCTGTCTCTATGTCCATCTCTCCCGATCTCCGCTGTGGCTCTCTTTTCTCCCGCTCTTTACCTCGCATTATCTCTCTGCCTGTCTGTCTGTCTATCTATCTTTCTTTCTATCCGTCTATCTTTCTATCGATATGGATCTATCTATCTCTCTCCCTATCTATCTATCTTCCTATCTCTCTATCGATCTATCTATCTATCTATCTGTCTATCTATCTATCTTTCTTTCTTTCTTTCTTGCTTTCTTTCGATCGATCGATCGATCTATCTATCTACCTTTCTTGCCTTCTTTCGGTCGATCTATCTATCTATCTTTCCATCTATCTATCTTTCTATCTATATATCTGTCAATCTATCTATCTATCTATCTATCTATATATCCGTCTATCTTTCTATCTATCTAACTATCTATCTGTCCAGCTATCTAACTATCTATCTATATATCCATTCCCCTAATCTATCTATCTATCTATCTATCTATCTATCTATCTATCCATCTGTCTATCTATCTATCTGTCTGTTTTTCTATCTATCTGTCTGTCTTTCTATCTGTCTATCTTTCCAGCTATCTACTTATCGTTCTATCTCTCTACCTATCCATCGGTCTTTCAATCTATCGATTTAACTATCTATCTATCTCTCTCTCTATCTTTCTACCTCCCTATCTATCTATTTTTCTTTCTTTCTGTCTTTCTATCTTTCTGTCTATCTTTACAGCTATCTACCTATCTACGTATCTCTCTATCACGCAATTTCTCTACTTATCTATTTATCTATCTATCTATCTATCTATCTATCTATCTATCTATCTATCTATCTATCTATCTTCCTATCTCTCTATCGATCTGTCTATCTATCTATCTATCTGTCTGTCTATCTATCTATCTATCTATCTATCTATCGATCTATCTATCTATCTATCTATCTCTCTATCTGCCTATCTATCTATCTATCTATCTGTCTATCTATCTATCTATCTCTCTATCTATCATTCTATCTATCTATCTCTCTCTCTCTCTATCTCTCTATCTCTCTATCTCTCTATCTCTCTATCTCTTTATCTCTCTATTTCTCTATTTCTCTACTTCTCTATTTCTCTTTTTCCTTATCTATCTATCTATCTGTCTATCTGTCTATCTATCTGTCTATCTATCTATATATCTATCTATTCACAATTCCACAAGTTTCTTTTTGGGAGCTCTAGCTGTACCGGAATGAACTGGGTATGTTCGGATAGAATTATACAATCGATGGGTATTGGCATGCGCCTTGCTGTACTGAACGCAACGTAACGTATGTATGTCAGAGTGGCCTTCGCACGCGATTTTGACGTTCCGTGGCTGATTCCCACCTTCAGCTTCCAGGACGAAGAGTATGTCCGCTTGTTGGCGGCCGCGGAAGCACAGAAGAAGGAAGCGGAGAAGGAGGGAAACCTGCCGTGTGGATCCAGCTTGAAACTGGAACAAGACGATATTTCGAAGTGGGGATGCGTCAGATGTAGTTGCACCCGATTGCACTCCCAAGAAAGAAGGTTGACGATCGTCATGTGTATAATTTTTATCATTTTTCAATATTTATATTATCCATTTGTGACGTTTTTTCAATTATTTCCTAGGTGAAATATTTTACTATTTTTCCATATAGCCAGATGTTTTCAATTCATGGCTGAAAGAGTTCACATCGCCAGGCTGAAAAGCTGAAAAATGAACGAAAAATGCACGGAGCAGATGAGGACGAAGCGGCCATGGATCCTTCAGGCGATGGATTTGTATTTGCTAGAAGTGTTTGTATGGATCATTGTTTTGATTTGATTCATTGAGGCAGTGAAGCAGTTGTTTGTTGTGTTTGTTGTTCTATTCGATGTGTTGTTTGTTGTTTTTGCCCACATCTTTGTGTGTGGGGTTCTTGTTTTTGGTTGTGCACTTCCGCCTGCCCGCTCATGCCTGCCCGCCCGCCGCCCGCCCGCAACTTACTCACACACAACTTGCTCACACACAACTTACTCACAAACAACTTGTCCACACACAACTTGTCACCACACAACTTGCTCACACACAACTTGTCCACACACAACTTACCCCCACACACAACTTGTCACCACACCACTTGCCCACACACAACTTGTCACCACACAACTTGCTCACACACAACTTACCCACACACAACTTGCTCACACACAACGTGGCTCACACACACAACTTGACCACACACACCTGTCCACACACAACTTGACCACACACAACTTGACCACACACAACTTGTCACCACACAACTCACTCACACACAACTTGTCACCACACAACTCACTCACGCACAACTTGTCCACACACAACTTGTCCACGCACAACTTGTCACCACACAACTTACCCACACACAACTTGTCACCACACAACTTGCTCACACACAACTTACCCACACACAACTTGCTCAAACACAACTTGTCCACACACAACTTACCCACACACAACTTGTCACCACACAACTTGCTCACACACAACTTACCCACAAACAACTTGTCCACACACAACTTACCCACAAACAACTTGTCACCACACAACTTGCTCACACACAACTTGTCCACACACAACTTGTCCACACACAACTTCTCACCACACAACTTGCTCACACACAACGTAACCACACAAACAACTTGTCCACACACAACTTACCCACAAACAACTTGTCACCACACAACTTACCCACACACAACTTGTCCACACACAGCTTGCTCACACACATCACTTTGCGTGGCAGGCGTGGCACTTGGCGACATGGACGTGCATTCTGCGTGGCAGGCGTGGCACTTATCGTACTGGGCTGGCTCCGGTGGCGCGCTTGGGCTGGGTTTGGTGCCGTGGTCGCCGCCGCTGTTTGCGTGGCAGGCGTGGCACTTCGCGACATAGATCTTCACTTTGCGTGGCAGGCGTGGCACTTTGTGACATCTACCTTCGTTTTGCGCGGCAGGCGTGGCACTTATGGCACTGGGCTAGCTCTCACACCATCTTTGACACACCACTTTGTCACACACCATCTTTCACACACCACTTTGTCACACACCACTTTGTCACACACCATCTTTGTCACACACCATCTTTCACACAACTTTGTCACACACCACCTTTTGCCACTCCATCTTTCACACACCACTTTGTCACACACCATCTTTCACACGCAACTTTGTCACACCCTCTCTTTCACACACAACTTTCACACACACACACAATCTTTCACACACAACTTTGTCACACACCATTTTTGACACACCACTTTGTCACACACCATCTTTCACACACCATCTTTGACACACCACTTTGTCACACACCATCTTTCACACACTTTGTCACACACCATCTTTGACACACCATTTTTCACACACCATCTTTCACACATCACTTTGTCACACACCATCTTTCACACCACTTTTTCACACACCATCTTTCACACACCACTTTGTCACACACCATCTTTCACACACCATCTTTCACACCCCACTTTGTCACACACCATCTTTCACACACCATCTTTCACACACCATCTTTGACACACCACTTTGTCACACACCATCTTTCACACACCACTTTGTCACACACCACTTTGTCACACACCATCTTTGTCGCACACCATCTTTCCTCCACCTCTTCCTTTGTCTTTCTTCCTTCCCCGTCCCCGCTACAACATTTGTTGCTCATTATTGGAAGAAGTTGACTTGTGGGGTTATCCAGTCCTTTAATTTTTGAAGTTGACCATGGAAGTGGCGAAGCAGCCTTTGTGCGCTAGCTTCGCCAGCTGAAGCCCAGGTGAAGATGATCCAAGAGAAGGGGAGCGCACCTCAGAATCTGACAGCTGCACCTCAAACGCTGTGCCAAATGCCGGCATATCCTCTGAACAGAAAACAACCAAGTAACCAGCATCCTCCTGAATCCTGATGCCAATGACCTACCATGTTTACACAATTATGACAAACTTAAACATAACATCGATTATGTTATATTATGTTATACAATGTTATATATACGGTAACGACATTTAAATATGTGGAGGGCGGGCCAGACCACGAGGCCCCGGAGGTAGTATGAAATACCAGTTCGTATATTTAAGTGTAGTTACCGTATGTTTAAATGAATTTGTTTCCGTATGTTTAAATGGCCCGGCAAGCCAAGAAAAACATTCCCGGAGGTAGTCTAAAATACCTGTTCGTTTATTTAATAGTCCGTATATTCAAATGTAGTTACCGTATATATATGTTGATTATGTATGATTGTATGATTACTTTCTGTGAACCCCAATCTCTTCAAAACCTGGCCCAAAACACCAAGGAGCCCAAAGAGTTGTTCGATGAGGTGCATCTGATGTTCGCATTGCTCATGGATCCTCAAAGGAAGTGTCCTAAAATTTTGATGTCATGAACTCTGTTTTGGAGAAATGTTGCAGGTCGTTTTGAAAATTCAGATTCTTTCAGGTCCATTTGTTTTGGTGATTTGTACATGTTGTATACTATGTATTATACATACATGAGACTTTAATACCCTTCTGGTATCTAAGAATCTGTAAATACAATGCACAGATACAATGTACATGATAATTCATGATATACTGGTATGTATAATAATGTATCTCCGAAACCGATTCCAAGTGATGTTTTAATCTCACCCTTGAAGCCCACTGTCGTCCAGGCAGCGCCAGTGCTGGACGATGAAGAAGATGAGGGTGTTGAAGCGCCAGCTTGGGTCGGTGCCACGCCTGACAGATCACAAGAGCTGGGCGAAATGGGCAAGGTTGGGCACCTTCAAAGAGCATTCATCCAGAATCCATGGAGAATCCATGGAGAAAAACAAAGAAGAATTGGATAGATAAATATTATGAATTATGGATTATTTTATGTCTTTCCCATACACCACAAAGTTGGGTACAGCAGATAAGGACGCATTAGGCATTAGATGACAATAAATAATAAATCCAAATCCTGTGGCGCCAGGTACCTTTGATACCAATGCCATGGCAGCTATGATGCAGGAGATCAGTGCTGGTTTCGTGGCCCTGGTGTGGATTTGATCCTCCAAGTGGATAGAGTCGTCATTTTTGCCATGATCCAGGCTGATCCAGGGCCCTAAAAGGATCTCAGTTATTCTTAGTTGTTCAAGTTGAAACTGATGTCTTTTGGGCCGAAAGGTTCGAGACTCACTGGAAAATGATTAGAAAATGCAGGACCAGAACATGCAGTCGTTGCTGGCGCAATTGGTCCAAGCCATGCCAGGGTGGGGCCAGGGTGGGGCGCATGAATGTAATTTTCTCATATGAAGATGAAGTTTGAAATGGTTTCAGATGGGCTTCAGCTCATTTTGTATAGATGATTTGAGAAAATTTGAGATGGGTTTGAGGGAGTACAGATGGCCATCACATGGCCAATGATGGCCAGTGGTCTCGGCGTTACCCCGATGACATCGCTCCTGGAGTGACCTGGCAGGTCTGGGATCAAGATCCATCCAGACGATCCTTTCCTTGATCCTGGCTTTATTGGGTTCTGCCCTCAGCGAGACACAATAAAGCCAGGCTTGATATCCTTGATGGCTTGATGTTTTAGTAAACCACAGTTCTGAACACGTGCCTCCGGTCTATTCTTCCGCAGGCAGATGTTCCATGCCCAGACCATCGATTCCATGGTGAAACTGCAAGACGCAGTGGAGAAATTGTGGAAGACTCAGTGCATGAGGAACGAAAGTTATCGATGGGATTTGGGGGGATCTGCTCGTAAATAACAAACACCGGTTCAGCAAACTTCAACAACACGCCGTTCCGCTACTAATCACGGTTCAACAACTACAAGAAACACACCCCGCTGGTTCAACAACTACGATTCGGGGTTGGTTTGGGGATTTTCTTTTAGGGCCAATTAACAGGATGGTTGTCGAACCAGACGTCCAGAGTTTCCAAACAATAGTTGTCGAACGAAACGTGTGTAGTTGTTGAACAAATATGTTGCATCGTTTCTAGTTGTTGAACCACAGTCATAGTCACAGATGTTTTAGTTGCACCAGACTTGCAGAAGCTTGTTCAATATTGATTGTGACCAGGCTACCAGTTAGCGAGGCGATCCTTAAGCTGGTTGGATTAGTTTCACAGTTTCACATAGTTTGACTGTATGTTTCAAGCTCCATCCTAACTAGGATGATCTGAACGGATCACTTTTGGGATGTGCTGAAACCCTGAGATTTGACGGATGAACTTTGCCCTTTCTTTCCATTGAGGTCCATGACGGATGGCGCCAAGAGCGCAGCTCCTGGATCGAAAAAGAAGGCCATGTGCCAAGCTTTCAGTTGATGTTTGCCAACATAGAGGGATCTCGAGGAAAACCATGCTTGATCGATCGGGGGTACCCTTGAATTGAAAGGATTGTCAAAATATGTCAAAATCTTTTTTGACATTCTTGCACTCGTTTACTGCGTTTAGCCTTTCGATGTAGAGCCCCAGCATTCCCAAGTTTTTTTAATGTTTATTTTGTGTGTACCGTCTCGCTTGTTCAGGGACAAGACATCAAAGATGAAGGCCCGGCTTACGTCCTGCCGCCATGTTTGGGGTCATGTCATGTCCGCAACATTCCGCAACGAAAGGACAAAATCCGCCAGGATTCGCCAGCGGCCTTGAGCGGTTTGCATTATAGGAGTCCTGCTCACAACTTCAAAGAGTCCGGGAGCCAAAGGATTAAAGCTGTGAGACACTGTGAGATGCTGTAACTCCAGAGGTGTTTTTGTTTGGTTTTTTATTTTGGCTCTTGTTACTCGTTTACATGCTCGAAAAATTCTCCAAGGTCCTTCTCCATGTTCCTTGCGGCTGAGCAAGAGAGTCCAGAAGTCAGGTACAAAGGTCAGCTGCAGGCCTGTCCTTTTTCCGGGTTGCTTGAAAAAGCAGGAGTCGTTTGCCACCGACCCTCCTGTTGCAGGCCATGAGGAATATGGGCTTCACGGACACGGAAGCTTGTATCCAGGTGCCATGAATTTGGGACTTTCCAGATCTTGCTGGCAGATATGGTGGGTTTATGAAGGCGTATCCAAAACTGGGCCCCACAAATTCAAATGGAGGGATTCGTGGGCCCAGTTTCGCGGGAAAGTCCAAATATCCAAGCGTCATTAGATTGCTGGATCCATCATGATTCGTCATGAGTATATAACATATATATACATATATAACATATATATATAATATATAATATATATATATACAATTTATAATTTATAATTTATAAATAATTGTAATCATTATTGGTTGGTCATCGTGGTCATGTTGGTCAATCTGTGTCAATCTCCCAAGATCTCCCCAGCAGACAAAATTTTGTGCAAAAAGCGGCCAGGCGCTGCACAACTGCGATGGCAACATGAACAAAGCAGTGGAGCTGTTGATGGAAAAAGCCGATCGATAGGCGTTGTGGCCCCAGTCGTCACGTCGTTTTTTATTGGACCTATTGGACTGGAAATTGGTTTTTCAATGTTCTTCATGTATCTATGAATTATTAGGAAAATTGCCTGAGGGAATGGAAGCCCAAGATCTGATGGTATCTGGTGTATCTGATTGATGGTGTGTTGATTTTCTGGTTCCAGTAGAGTGAGTCGAGATGAAGTGACCTTTTGAAGAAATCTAGCTAAGATGTCTCGGATCCGAGCATCTACCGGGTCTACCGCCACCAGAGACCCACAAGCAACGGAGCTTCTGAGGTCTGGCAGAATTCAAGCAGAGAATGCTTCCTAAAGGGAGGCGGTATCACACCTCCGGTGCAGCGGTTGGTGCCCATGGTCGGCATCGCTGCATCGCTGGCGATAACGAAACCTCGCAGGACGAATCAAGGCTTTGCGGGCAGAAAAAGTATGATATATCGAAGTATAAGCTTGTTGACTGGAACACATTCATATCTTGAATATCCATTCTTGAAGATTCTTGCAGATGTGGAAAGGTTGAGAATGCTGTTGTGAAACCTTGACATGTTATTATTCTTAGTGTTTGCAGTAATTTTGTTGCCGTGCAGCGCTCAAGTGCAGCGTTTCCAACGGCCAAGCCGAGTCAGCGTTTCCACGCACAATGCCTGCAGCTCAATGTGGCATCCGTATATCAAAGAGATATAAACAGATTGCACCAGCCAAAAAATGTCAAGACATGTCTACTCTTGATACTATAACTATGTTCTATCCTACATGCCTTTTTTATGTGTGGCCCAACCACCAACCAGAAGTGATCTGATATATCATGATATATCATGATTGGAATCATGATTATCATGGATGTACCATTCTTATAACTCAGATTTAAAAAAAAACATCCCATGGTCGTCCCAAGCAGGTCTACGATCCGCCCTTGTAGTCGGTCCAGTTGCCCGCAACCCAGTGACAACGTTGCCATGGCTGAAACAGCATGAATTTGCTCAATAGACATTTAGAACATGTATGGGCCTGTATGGGCACTGCCCCAATACACACACTAAAAAAAAACACCATAATCCACCCAATTTATCGAATTTCCACATTGCTTTCAGCCAAACCTGCAGCGTTGTTTTGGCAATTGTTCAACACGAGGTCACGAGGTATCCTGTAGGAGTTGAATCAACGTTTCTCCTTATGGAGGCCAGCACTGTCAAAAGCGAGTGGCGATTTTCCTCATCGATGGCTTTGGGATACTTCGCCGACGACATGAAGCGAAGTGCCCTCTCGCCAAGGTGCTCACGCCGAAGAATGTGCTTATCACCATCACACTCCCATGTCCCCATGGCAGTGTATCCTGTAAATGAATACAAATGCTGTATGCATAACAGTATTTTTTCTTGCTAGCAACGATAATAATTAATCATCAACAAACTCATCAACATCATCAATATCATCATCCTCCTCCTTTTCCTCCTTTTCCTCCTCTTCCTCATGGTGGTGGTGGTGATGGTGGTTGTGGTGGTTGTGGTGGTTGTGGTTGTGGTTGTGGTTGTGGTTGTTGTTGTTGTTGTTGTGGTTGTGGTTTTGGTTGTGGTTGTGGTTGTGGTTGTGGTGGTTGTTGTTGTTGTGGTTGTTGTTGTTACTATTGTTGTCATCGTTACCACTTACCAGTGTCATATGTGTTATCATCGTTAACAGTCCTCAGCTCCATCACTGCCTTTGTATTCATGTTCACATATGTTCATTGTGTACTCCTATGCATTTTAATTCGACTTATATTGACCAGTAACAATTCATATCATCATGATTCATATTGTATTTTTCAACAATGCGACTCATATTCACCATGTCCATCCAATGTTCATCTATATTCACGTTCATGTTGGGTTCATATTTAATCATATCAATTCATTCTATATATCCATTCTATATTCATCATGTTCGTCATATTCGTAATATTCATCATATTCATCATCATATTCAAAACACTCATCATATTTATAATATTCATGCTGATCATGTTCATCATGTTCATCATGTTTCATCCATTGTGCATCTATATTTGTCATATTATCATATTGGTGTTCAATGTTGTTTTCAGAGTCAGCATTTTTGTACTTATGTATAAGATTTATGTTTTTTCATATTGAAACAAGTTCTATCTTCGTCGTACTATTCATTGATTATATATACGTATATATATATATATACATATAGATATGAATATACGTGTTATATAATTCATTGTGTGATATGTGGAATAATATGTATATATATATATACACTATACATTGATTTATAGTTTTAGATCAATTATACTGTGACTGTCAGAAAATAACACATTATGACAATATATGTGTTCTCCCTCAATGATGTCACTGGGTGCTATTGATGCTGGCCATGCCAGGTGACCCCACCAGCTACGCAGGCTGAGACGACATCAGAGACCACCACTGCCACAGCCCGGAGCCGTGGGGGTTTGCCTTGTTTTTGATGTTTTAGTGGCGAGCATGGGGTATCTAACCACCGAGAATGGTGAATTTAACAACAACATAGGGTCGTTTGCACTATCATAAATGATTATATGACTTGTTCCCCTGAGCATATGTACATATGCATATACATATATCTCTAGGGAACAAACGTATCCACTTTTTTTGTGGAAAAAAAGTTTTTTTGGATACGTTAGCTGCTGTGAACATAGGCTATGATAAATACCCTATACTTGAGACATGTTAGTTGAAAATCCAGAATGGACATGTTAGTGGAAAAGTTGTCCCCCCCTCTGGGGGTTCCCGGGAAACTGCCAGAAGACTACCGCCCCGGACGCCCCAGCATCCTTATTTCCAGACCCCAATAGGGCTCAAATCAAAGACTGCATTGATAACAAAACGGTGGAGAAAAAAGGGGCCCCAACTCCTTCCGGAAGAGCGCATCATAGATGATGCTCGTGGGTGGACAGGAAGATTGGGGGTGCATTCCAAAAACCAGTTGCATTTAGTAAGGGTAGCGTCCACCTAACGTGTCCGTGTTGTTCAGAGGATGTGGTTTTGAGATATGTGAGTGGTTATTGGCTGAATCTATTCCCCCAAAATAGCGAACATATCCCAGATCAGGGTCGAAATCCAAGGGCCCCAATTGCAGGAACTGAGACATGTTAGCTGTTTTTGGTTCAATGGTCCCCAAAAAAGTTGCAATGCATTCCCCAGGAAATCCAGGAAAACGCCGGTACCGAGTGGACATGTTCGTTGATACCTGAAACGGTAGCCCGAGACACGTATCCACTTTTTTTTGCGTTTGTTTTTGGATACGTTAGCTGCTGTGAACATAGGCTATGATAAATGCCCTATACTTGAGACATGTTAGTTGAAAATCCAGAATGGACACCGGACACGTTAGTGGAAAAGTTGTCCCCCCCTCTGGGAGTTCCCGGGAAACTGCCAGAAGACTACTGCCCCGGACGCCCCAGCATCCTTATTTCCAGACCCCAAAAGGGCTCAAATCAAAGACCACATTGATAACAAAACGGTGGAGAAAAAAGGGGTCCCAACTCCTTCCGGAAGAGCGCATCATAGATGATGCTCGTGGGTGGGCAAGAAGATTGGGGTGTGGGTGCATTCCAAAAACCAGCTGCATTTAGTAAGGATTGGATGACTAGCCATGGAAAGCGTCCACCCAACGTGTCCGTGTTGTTCAGAGGATGTGGTTTTGAGATATGTGAGTGGTTATTGGCTGAATCTATCCCCCAAAAATAGCGAACATATCCCAGATCAGGGTCGAAATCCAAGGGCCCCAATTGCAGGAACTGAGACATGTTAGCTGTTTTTTGGGTCAATGGTCCCCAAAAAAGTTGCAATGCATTCCCCAGGAAATCCAGGAAAACGCCGGTACCGAGTGGACATGTTAGTTGATACCTGAAACGGTAGCCCGAGATACGTATCCACTTTTTTTGTGGATTTTTTTTGGATACTTTAGCTGCTGTGAGCATAGGCTATGATAAGTGCCCTATACTTGAGACATGTTAGCTGAAAATCCAGAATGGACACCAGACACGTTAGTGGAAAAGTTGTCCCCCCCCTCTGGGGGTTCCCGGGAAATTGCCAGAAGACTACCGCCCCGGACGCCCCAGCATCCTTATTTCCAGACCCCAATAGGGCTCAAATCAAAGACTGCATTGATAACAAAACGGTGGAGAAAAAAAGGGCCCCAACTCCTTCCGGAAGAGCGCATCATAGATGATGCTCGTCGGTGGGCAAGAAGATTGGGGTGGGGGTGCATTCCAAAAACCAGCTGCATTTAGTAAGGATTGGATGACTAGCCATGGAAAGCGTCCACCTAACGTGTCCGTGTTGTTCAGAGGATGTGGTTTTGAGATATGTGAGTGGTTATTGGCTGAATCTATCCCCCCAAAATAGCTAACATATCCCAGATCATGGTCGAAATCCAAGGGCCCCAATTGCAGCAACTGAGACATGTTAGCTGTTTTTGGGTCAATGTGTAAAAAAAAAGTTGCAATGCATTCCCCAGGAAAACGCCGGTATAAAGTGGACATGTTAGTTGATACCTGAAACGGTAGCCTGAGACACGTTTGTTCCCGGGAGTATATATATATATGTCTATATATACATGTTAGTGTATATATATATATATACACATATGTAGATATCACGACTGCAAATGACAATAGATTCTATTCAATATATTTCAATATAACTATATAATCTATACATAACTTATTGACTTAAATCATGTTATATCAACCGTGGGTGTTCTCCCGAATTTCGCCCTTCACCAAGGCGGTTCTCACCGGATCCACAGCTTCCAGTTCTTCCAGCTTGCGGCCAAATGTGACGCCGCAGGCCGCTATTTTGGCAACAAAAGGATCCAAAAAAGGACGTAGATACAAGATGATACAAGGTCTAGATATGATGAAAATTGGTGATATATGAAATAACCACCTATGATATGAATGAGTATATAATTGTATATATATATATTGACATATCATGTGGTCAATATCGAAGATTGAAAGCCCAAGGTACCAAAGATATCCAAAGATAACCAAAGGTTTTGGCAATCTTTGGGGTATCATATTTTGACCCATACCCAAATGGATACAGCGCTTGCTGTCCGCAGAAGATTTCGCGTGCTGCTATCAATTCAGGGACCATATACATGATGGGCGTGAAATTTGAAAAACATTATTAATATGTTTACACAAGGCGGGAGGCGCTCTCACTCGCAGCACGCAGTCACGCAGACCACGGGCATCGAAGAAACGAGACTCGCATTGGAATCATCAAGAGAAGAGAAAAACAGAGTGATCAGCTGATTGAAGTAAAAAGCAACTTCCAGTTAGACAGGACATATAGGACATGGTTTCGACTCACGAAAGCAACCCCAAGCATGTGATTGGCAGAGAAAGGCATGGCAATCTTCCCACCCTTTCTGTAGCCTGAAGTATGGACTGTTCCATCACTTTTGCATTTCTCGGAAACTTCGCCAGGCATAGCAGGAGTGTCAGGGAAAACATTGTTGATATGGGATTCCATTATATTGATGAATACTATTGCAACATATTGCAACTACAATATCAATCGCACTCCAAAAGGTGGTTGGTTTGTTTGGAAACAGCTTACTCCGAAATCATCCGAAATCCCATGGTTTACTACGTCTTCATGTCCTCGATTTTCTCCATCGAAATTTTGATCAATTGCGGTCCCTCCACCATTTTGCAACCCCACACACAAAAACTGTCGCTTTCTAGATCCCAGTGTTTTACTAAAGCCAAGTTGTTGGATGGTTAAAATATCTTAAAATCTTGAAAATCCGCCATTTTTTATACGTCCACACCCAATTACACCAGGAGAGTCCTGGCTTTTGGCCACGGCTGATGAGTTCCCTGCGCTGCGGGCGCCGCCATCGCCCTGCTGCGCTGCGCCGGCCGTCGGGGAAGTCGTCCGTGGCGGAGTGATGCTGGAAGGCTGGGATGATGGATATATATATATATATATTATATTTATGATTATATATATAATATTTTATATTATATTATATTATATATATATATATTATATGATATGATATTATATTATATATATATATTGTATTATTATGAAAAGATTCAGGCAGCTCTGTTGAATCAATGTTGCAGCTGATGCTGTGCGCTCTCACTCTTTTGTACTGTTGGCAAACAGTCTCAGGATAGCTTCAGGCTCAAGGCCTGTTGATCCATAATGTTGACAGTGACATCCAGCAGCTGTTGAACTGTACACGAATTGTGTGTTGGACAATGTTGTTACTTAACACGGCCCCTCAATTTGTTGGAGCTTCCAACACATTGCACAAAACAAACATTGTTGAAACGCAATCACATTATGTTGATACTATTGGATTAGGTGTTGATCTCTGTGCAGGGCTGATGGCTTGTAGTTTTACATCTGTTGCCCAGCCGCAGATGTTGATCAAACACTCATCTAATTTTGCGCATTCCCGGCTCTCACGTTTGAACCTCTTGTTGCGCAGGGATCTGCTGAAGATCCAAAGACTGTTGGTTGAGGTGCCAGTCTCACCTGTTGGATGACTTCTCATCCTTCCATCTGTTGATCATCATCGGTTGTTGCGCAATTCTCACGCAGCAACTGTTGGATCTCATCCTTGGGCATGGTGAGTGGCAAATTGTTGAGGCGCCACACATTGATCGCTTTGAAATGGTTGTTGATCATCTCTTCTGTCCACTGTTGCTCGACCCATGTTGCCAGGTGGCTGTTGCCTCTGATCCTCTCAACTGTTTTGGCTCCTTGGAACAGGATGTTGCCTGTGTTGATGCCGCTGGTGATGCTGGTGCTGTGCATCTGTTGCAGCATCTCCATCACAGCATCCCTGGTGGATGTTGTGAAATGATGGAGCATCTGTGCTCCACCATACTCCAAGCATTGGAGTACGAGCCTCTTCTCCTGTTGTGTTGATTCCACGGTCATGTTGGACACTTGGACCGGGATGTTGTAGGTCCACATCCAGTCCTTGTTCCACTGGAAATAGTTGCAGATCTGTTGAAGCATGGTGTTGCCTCCATCTGCATTGATCTCCCAGATCTGTTGGGATGCCAGCTCAAACGTTGTGAAACGAAGGTTGCATCCACTCTCGATCCAGTTGTGATCCTTCACTGTGGATCTTCCAGCTGTTGGAAAACGGCTGCACACGAAGCGGCGTAATCACTTCTTGTCAACAAAATGTTGACATCCTGCAAAAAAAACGGCAAAACAAAATTCATGTTGCAATCCAACATGTTGTCTAAGACAGTCATGTTCCAGAAAGAAAATCACTGAGTTGAATCTCCATGTTGGCCACCATGTTGAAACTTCCCAGTAAATGAATATGTTGATATACTCCATGTTGAAGTAGATAACGTAGATATAGAACATGTTGTCAACCTTTGTTGACACCATGGCTCAAAAAGAAATGTATGTTTGTGTGTGTATGCCACGCACGATGTTCGCACGTTGTACACGCGTCCGCACATTCACACGCTAGCTGCAGTGAAACTGTTGTTGTTGCTTGTTGTTGTTTGTTCATTGATGCTGGGTGCTGATGCCAACATCACTGATGTGACGCAAAAGCGTCTCTGTTGCAACGTACTTGGTGAAGATGTCGGCCGGGTTGTTGATCGTGTTGATCTTGACAATCCTCACAAGGTCGTGTGCGACCAATTGTTGTATGAAAAGGTGTTTGAGCTCGATATGTTTGGCTTTCTTTGATGCTCCGATTCTTGTTGCCATGCTCTTTCCGCTTAATGAGTCGGTATGTATGCGGATGTTGATCTTCTTCATGTTGAGAGCTTCCTTCAGGAAATTGCTGATGTGGAGTGCTTCTGTTGCTCCTGTGTTGATCGCATAGAGTTCTGCTTCCGCGCTGCTCAGCGCAATTGTTGCCTGTGTTCTGCTTCCGTAGTGGATTGTTGCGCCGAAGACTTTGATTAGAAATCCTTTTGTTGACTTCCTCGTTGTTGCGCATCCTGCCCAGTCGCTGTCGACAAAGACTTGGATGTCTGGTACTGCTTCAGCTGTTGGTGTCTTGGTTGTAGGTCTCACGTATTGTTTGTAATGTTGTGTTCCCTTGATGTACCTGAGCAAGCGCTTCAATTTCTGCTGGTCTGCTGTTGTTGGCTGTGTCAGGGCTCTTGCAAGCTCTTTTGTTGCAAAGCCAATGTCTGGCCTTGTGTAGGTCATCCATTGTAGCTTGCCAACCATTCTTCGGTAGGCTGCGTGTTCTTCTTTGTTGAGTTCTTGTTCCATCTCTGATGTTGCTTTCAGAGTGTTGTTGCCTGGTGCTGGTGCTGGGTTGCAGTTGAGCATGCTGGCTTCTTCCAGTATCTGAGTTGTGTAGCTGTCTGCTAAGCTGATCTCGTAGTAGTCACCTTTGTTGCAGATGTTTCTGCCCAAAAAGCTGATGGCGTTGCCGACTGTGAGTTCTCCTGTTGGACGAAGTAGGAGGTGTTGCTGGATGCTCTTGAACAGCTTGTTGACCGTCTCCTGTTGTCCAATGAAGAGCAAGTCGTCGACATAGCATAGTATGTATGCATCTCCCTGTGGTGTTGCGTAGACGTTGGGCTCGCTGACAAGTCGTCGTAGTCCAAGTTGTTGCATCACCTCTGCCAGGTGATTTTGCCATGCTTTTGGGCTGCTGCGTAAGCCATAGATGGCTTTGTTGAGCCGCCAGACGATCTGGTCGAAGGCGTCGTAGAACTCTGCTGGTGGATACATGAAAAGATCTGCTGTTGCTGCTGCTGCATGTGGAAAGGCTGTTGAAATGTCTCCTGTGAGACAAATCCAGTTGTTGCAAAGTGCCAAGACGAGTAGCATCCTCAGAACGCAGAAGATTGGTGTTGACGCGAAGATGTCGTCGTTGTCATCGATCTCCTCTGTGTAGCCCTTTGCTACAATTCGTGCTCGAACTGTGTTGCCTTTCTGTCGAAGAACCCATCTTGACTTGATAATCTTCTTGCGTTGCTCTGGTGTGAGTTGACTTATGTGTACTTCTGTGTACACCCCTTGATCCTTCATTGATTTGATCTCTTGCTTCATTCCTTCTGTTGTTTGTTCTTTGTCTAAACCTTCGGTGTTGCTCACCCAAGGTTCCAGGAGAATCTTTTCTGCTTGGATCTCCTGTTCATCCTCATTTGATGTTGCTTCTATCTTCTGTCCTTTCTTTGTTGTGACTGTGACTTGTGATATCCTCATCCTTGTTGTTGGTGGCTCCTGAGCTGCCTCAGGTCTGCTTGCTGGTGTGGCTCTCTCTGTTGTTCTTGCTTGCTTTGGTGAGCTGCCTTGTGTGATCTCATCTGCTACTTCTCTTTTGCCTTGTGTCGGCAATGGAAGTGGCTGCCTTGCTGGCTGAGTTGCTGGCGCTGTTGCCATTGGAAGGTCTGTAAGTGCTGGTGGTGTTGTGGCGTGTGGTTGTCCCATGGCTTGTGGCTGTGGACTCCGCTGAGTCTGTGTACTTGCTGTTGTCTGCTGCTTTGCTGCAGCGGGTTGTGGTAGTACCACAATGCTTGGTGTTGTTGGTGGTATCATGGCTGGTGAAGAGTTGATGATGTCCATCAACTGCTTGTTGTACTTGTCTGGCTTTATTTGTCTTCTTATGGTCCTTGCTCTGACCACTTTGTTGCTGATGCCAAGTATGTTCTCGTTTGTTGAGTTGTCCTTACCCAACCAGATGGCTGGATAGAACCTTGCTTCCATCTTTGGCATATGTTTTGCTGTTGGTAGCATGTAAAGAACTGTTTCACCAAACTCACAGATTGGTGTTTTGTGTTCTTTGCCCCATCGTCTGTAGTAGCTTGTGTTTCCATCTGGGTGGATGGAATACCTGTTGAGCAGGTATGCTGCGTGTTTGACAAGCCACGGCATGATGGGATGCTTGCTGTTGAGCTTGATGCCATAGTTGGTCTCCAGTTGGAGTTTGAGAGCTCTGACTTGGCCCATCAATGTTCTGTGGAAACGTTCAACGCTTCCTTGTGCTTGTGATGTGTAGGCTGGTGCTTGCCTGACTGCTATGTTGTTGCCCATGGCTGCTGCCACCATCTTGAGCAAGGAGATGATGAAATCTTCTTGATCTGACTGAAGAACGGTGTTGTTGAGGATTGCATGTGTTCTGCCACATTCCATCAGGAATTGTTGAAGGCAGACTGACAGGTATTGTACGTGTTGTGTCTTGTCCTCAAGTTGGACTGCCATACACATGCCTGTTTCAACGTCCACTGCTGTGAGGACTGATGTTGTCTGCTTCTCTCCTAAGGCTTTGTAGTACATCAGATCCACTTGGATCACTGGTGTTTTGCTTGTTTGCTTCGGGTGGTTGTCCTGTCTTCCTTTGCTTTGTATGCACGTTGGACACCAGCTTCTGTAGGGAAGGTGTGTCAGTTCATGTTCTCTTCTTTCTTGTTCTGTTGGTTGTTGTGGTGTTGGCACTCCTTTTGCTCTCTTGGCTTCTTGTTGCTCCTCTGGCTCATCTGTGATGAAATCATCTTTGTATGCTGCGTTTTCTTCAAAGTTTGTTGAGCCTGTCCACTCTATGTCGAGTGTTGCTTTCCTCTTTGTCGTCCAGTCATCATCTATTCTATATCCTCTGTTGCCACTTGTTGGCTTCACCATTGTTTGTCTCCATGTTGTCAGTCTTGTCACGTCTGGTCCATCATCTGTTTGTTGTGGAATGTACATGTCCCTTCTTGGTTGGACATGCACACGTTTCCCATATGGACCTTCTTTGATCCAATAGTCCTGTGTTGGACTGACTTCCATTGGATGTGGGACTGCTGTCTGGTGTGGCTTTGTTGTGGTCATTGCTTGACCTGTTGGCCTTCCCTCTGTGAGAGGCTTCTTCACGTTGTGTCGATACATTGGTGCTTGTGGTTGATCGGCTGTGGATTGTTTAGATGTTGCTGGTGTTGGCCCATTGGCTGGTGGAAGTGTTGGTTGTGGTGGTATGTTACCTGGAAGTGTTGTTCCACGCTTCACTTTGAACCATGTTTCTCCCGTCCAGTTGTTTCCTTGCATAATCCTCTTTTGTTGCTTCTTGTCGAGATCTTGGTATGCTTCTTCGATGACCTCTGTGTTGTTGTTTGATCTTCGTATGATTGTTCTTCTGTAGTTCTCCAACCTTTCTGTTGGAACTGGACATCTGCTGTCTGGCATGAACAATGCCTTGCGTGTTGTCCTGTGGACTCTCGCCAAGAAACCTTGGCTGTTGAATGTCCATAGGTCATTCTTGTTGCGAAGGACTTCCATGCCTGTTGGTGTCAGTGCGACTGGTGCTATTCTTGCTGTTGTTCCTTCTGCTGTCTGGTTGACTTCAAGCCTCATGTTGACTGGCAGTGTTACCAATACAACCGGCAAGAAGCAAAGGCCTTCTCGTTGCTTCAGTGCTGAGTTGAATCCCTTGGTGTGTGTGATTGTTGGTGTCTCGTTGAGTTGTGCGTTGAACCCTTGCTCTGCCAGTCTTGTTACTGACATGATGGGTTGCGTCACATCACACACGTAGAAGGGAACAACTAGTGTCTGCTTGTTGGTGTTGTGCATGTACACCCATTTGTAGCCGTGCACGTAGATGACTTCATCTGTTGCTGTTCTGAGTCTAGGTCCTTGTCCATGCTGCAGTGGATACAGTGGTGTGTCTGGTGCAAACCATGGTGGGCACACATGTGTTGCTGAACCACTGTCAATCATGATGTCCACTTCGACGTCTCCTCTCTGCTGTTGCACTGCTTGAGCTGTTGTGGTTGCTTCATTGTGGGCACTCGCTGCCTGATGGCCCAGTGCTCCCACAAGTTGAATTGTTGGTGTTTGAGTGTTTGTTGATGGTGCTGACCAAGCTAGCTGTTGTTGTTGTTGGGCTGGCTGAATGTTGTAGTTGCCTGACTGGTCGTCGCTGTACCAGTAGTTGTCATAAGTCATACCCACTGTTTGGGTCATACCATTGGGATGTTCCACCCTGGTTCTGTTCCTGTGGTGTCTCTGCCATGTTGTACACCGCTGTTCGGCAATCCTTTGCCAAGTGGCCCTGTTGACCACATCTGTAGCCTATTGTTGTTGGATTCTTCCCTTTTCCTTTGTTGGGAATTCCTTTCGACTTTCCTTTGTTGCCTTTCTCTACTCCTTTTGGCTGATACCATTGCTGTTGCTTTCCTTTGCCTTTTCCTTTGTTGCAACTGCCGTAGCCGCCGTAGCCCTTTCCTTGTTGGTATCCTTTGCCTTTGTGACCTCCTTTGTTGAATCCTTTTCCTTTGTTCTTTCCTTTTCCTTCTCCTTTGCCTTTGTATGTTGCTCCTATGTCCATTGGAGCTGGGCCTCCTCCTAAATTGCTGCTGACTGCTGAAGACGACTGTTGTTGGAGTCTTGAGAACGCTGTTGTGGTCCTATAGTACTCCATGATTGTTGTCCTCACCTCAGCATATGTTGGTGTTGCACTGGCATTGAGGTGTAAGTGTTGTTGGAGTGGTCCTGTTGCCTCATTCATGAGAACTGCTATCTTCACTTGGTCTGGTAGTTGGGCGTTGTTGTCACGCTCGTAGCGTGCAAACTCAAATTCCCATGTTGAGAAGGACTCCTCAAAGTTGTTGGTGTCGAACTTGGGTTTGAGTAGCTTTGTGAGGTAGCCTATGCTTCTTGTTCCAACAGGTGTTGCAAACCTGTTGCACAGTTGCCTGTAGACTTCTAAACCCATTGCGTCTTGGTATTGTCTGCATATTGTTGCTGCTGGGCCGCTGGTGATGTTAATGAGTATGTATTTGAGGTTGTTGCACAGTTGTGTCCACTTTTCTCCTTCCTCTATTGTTGTTGCTGCACCAAGCAGCTCTGCATCTGTGAGCACTGTTGTTGCTCTTTCTGCTCTTGAAAGCAGTTGTGGAAAGATGTTGTCCTGTAGGCCCATGTATGCTGAGAACTTGTACTTCCACTCTTCGAATGTTGCATAGTTGCCATCATATGTTGGAGGTTTCAACTTCAGCCTGTGTGTTGATGCTAGGGCTTCTGCTTGTGTTTCTCCTGCTGTTGGCGATCCTATCTCATATGCCGTTGCCATCCTTGTTGTAGAGAGTCCCCCACACTGTATAGTTGGGATCAAGCCCTCTTCCTGCGCACCTTGTTGTTGAGTTTGTTTCTTTACCTTGTCGTTGCAGTGGTGGTGTGTTGGGCTGCTACCCTTTGTTGCTCCAGCTGTTGTTGAGAGTCCCCCAGCGTTCTGGGATCAAGCCCTCTGCCTGTTGGAGCTCACCTGGATGCTTCCAGGATCACTGCTCCGCTACCATGAAAAGATTCAGGCAGCTCTGTTGAATCAATGTTGCAGCTGATGCTGTGCGCTCTCACTCTTTTGTACTGTTGGCAAACAGTCTCAGGATAGCTTCAGGCTCAAGGCCTGTTGATCCATAATGTTGACAGTGACATCCAGCAGCTGTTGAACTGCACACGAATTGTGTGTTGGACAATGTTGTTACTTAACATATTATATATATATATATATATTGTATTATATTATATATATATTGTATTATATTATATATATATATTGTATTATATATATATATTGTATTATATATATATATATATTGTATTATATTATATATATATTGTATTATATATATATTGTATTATATTATATATATATTGTATTATATATATATGTATATTCGTCTATACCTTTCAAATGATGAAGTCATTGTGGTGGTTATTTGATTATGTTATTCTCATTGTTAGTTCTCATTGCTATTAGCGTTTGTTGGTAAGTTTTGAGGCTTCGGAGGTTGGCGCATCTCACAGTTGATCTCGGACGATGTGACATTTGACACGTGATGCTGCCGCGTTGCAACGCTGCGCAGGTGATGAACGGACAGAGGTCTTGAGAGAAGAGTCTCATTTCAAGGCGCAGATGTTTCCCAATGACATGGGATCCGGGAAGAAGAGCTTCTATGATACCACGCATCATGTGGTAGATATTCTGGTGCTGCCTGTTGAATTGTAAAGCAGAAACAGCTCCGCTTCAACACCAAGAGGAGTGCATTGTAAGTGGTTCGTTCATTTCCGTTATCTGTAATAATCAACTGAATATGAATGGTTTCCAAGTGCAGAAGATGTTCTTCCAGGTCTCTCTTGGGTGGTTCCAGCTGTTGGTTCGGTCTCCCGTCGATTCATGCTGTGACTCATGCTGTGACTGGCTGCAGGCTTCTCCTCTGTTGTCCACCTTCCGTGCCGTCAATTTGGAGTCGGGTCGGCAAGGCGCTCAGTTAGTTCAGCTCAATTGCCAGATTGCGGATGCACGAAGTCGCAGACCATCCCATATTGCCTCGTTTGTTTGTTTGTTTGTTTGTTTGTCCGTCTGCTTGCTTGTTTGCTTGCTTGCTTGCTTGGTTGTTTGCTTGTTTGTTTGTTTGCTTGTTTGTTTGTTTGTCTTTCTCGGTCAACTTCATTGATTTTCTCTCTTATCCGATTGTCTCTCTGTTTGTCAATCAATCTGTCTATCTACGTCTGCGTGGAAGCACACAGGCAGAGACACACACACACAAAAAAAAAAAATGCAGTTGCATGATTTGTACACCGTACACCTGCATCGGAATTTGGATGGCTTGCAAAGATGCTTGCCAGTGCTTAGGGCCTATCGGAATCCTGCATTAGGAGTGTTATATTCTGTGATTCATACCTCCTCTTAGACTGCCTAAATGTGCAGTCAGGTTAGCCTCGGGAATTCAGGATCAACATGTTCAGAACAAATTCTCATGTAAGACTGGAGTGGCTACTGGATTCCTAGCTGCTCTATAGGTCTAGGGTGTGGTTTTCTAATGTGTTCTATGTTTTCTACGCCTCGTGTAATTCCTTTGATGTTGCTCACTGAGAGGTGACTCAAACTCCCGGTTTTTTCTCAAGCTATAGGTGTGCATAACAGCTTTGCATCCACTTCGGCCAATTGTCACAGCATGGGCCTGTTCTTCAGCAAGATCTGGACGCGCATGAGGGGCTCTAAAGAGGTGCGAATCCTGATGCTGGGTTTAGATGCTGCTGGCAAGACCACCATCCTCTACAGGTTGAAGCTGGCAGAGGTGATCAACACAGTGCCCACCGTGGGTTTCAACGTGGAGATGGTGGAGTATGGCAACATCAAGTTCAACGTCTTTGATGTGGGAGGCCAGGACCAGATTCGCAAACTCTGGCGCCACTACTTCCAAGGCACTGATGGTTTGATCTATGTTGTGGACAGTTCTGATCGCGACCGAATCAATGATGCTAAGGAAGAGTTGGATAAGATGCTGCAAGAGCAGCAGCTTGCGGATGCCGCTTTGCTCGTTCTTGCCAACAAGCAAGATTTGCCCAATGCCATGACAGCTGCCGAGATCATGGAGAAGCTGGAACTGCAGAAACTTCGACATCGGAAATGGTTCATTCAATCGACCATAGCTCCCACTGGCGATGGCCTCTATGAGGGTTTGGACTGGCTTTCCCGAAGTCTAAGCTCCCACAAATGATAGGCATGATGGGCATGATGGGCACTTTGCACCACCACACTATTTGTTGCAATATTTGCGGCAATCAAACAATGCGACACCGATTTGTCCCGTCACGGCCTATGCAGTCTCGCAACTAGCGAGGAGGGCCTGCGTGGAAGCTTTCAATGCATCTCCGAGATACTCCAAATGTACAGAAGCCGGGTAGCCTTGGGAACGCAAGGAGGAGCATGTTCAGAACAGACGCTGCGCACAGTTTTGAGGTGTCAAAAAGCAGATCCGTGGCAGTTCGTACCCTACTTCATAAGTCTGCCGATTACATCTTTGTCCAGCGGCCAGCTTCCAGCACCAGCAGACCTGCGTTCTAATATGTTGGGTATGAGGCAAACTTATAAAACTTTTATAAAATAAAACACATGATTACCTGATCCTAAAGATGATCTCATATGATCTAATGATATCTAATTATCGCATTCTGATCATTCTGGGACGTTGCTATTTTAAAGAGCTAATATTGAGCTAATATTTATAGATAATTAATGATATTGTCACTAATATTGAGCTAATATTGAGCTAATATTTATAGATAATTAATGAATATTAAATATTAATTAATGATAATTATAGAAATCTTATGCCTTCAGGATGCCTCGCTTTGCCACTCCAAGGTCCAGATTCGAATCTGAGTCAACCTGGCTGCGAATCCTTGCCACAAAGGCCACATTTGCGACGCCTGGCACGGAATCGCTTTGGGTGGTTGCAGGTGTTTCAATGATCAGATCTTTGAATTCAAACATTTACTATTGATGTGTTAAATGATTATAAAACATTAATGATTAATTCAAACATTACTTGTTTCAATATTTGTTAATGATCGTTAATGCATGTTAATGCTAAGTACTGTCTCACACATTCTATGCGATGCGTTCCGTGGGACCCTGTTTTTCTTGTGCAGGGACGCAAACAAAAAGATGCGCAGCCAAGCTGCAGCGCGACTTAGGCGACGCAGCGTTCGAGCACCACCTGAGGGTGAAGGCTGGTTGACTCCCCAATGATCCTGATATGTTTGGCTGGTGAGATCCCAGTGAAACTGTGTGATGGTGAATGCCGTCATCCTTGGGACCAGAATCCTCAACCAGACGAGGCTGGAGTACTCCATGTGAGCACAGTGATAGCAGATGGAAAATGCAGCTTTGGTACAAATGGTGTGGCCCCCAGCGATCAGTTCCTCAGCCGCACAGTGCGGAGTCAGTGCAGCGGACTGAGAGCGCCTAGCAGTTGCTATTGCAAGGTCAGCGCCTACCACGATTTCCACGCTGTCTCGGTTGAAAGTGCAGGGAAGCTTAAGTGAGGCCGGGGAGCATCAGGGAGCACTGCAAATCATACTGGAAACATTGGAAACATTGACCCATTGAAACAAATTGAAACAATGTCAAGATTATTCACAAAAATCAATATGCTTTCAGTACGTTTCACTCTGACTATCTCTCTGGTCAAAAGTGAGAAGACTGTTATCATTCTTTTATCATTTTTGTATCAGACTTGTCAGGTCAAACAGTCCATCGAATACTTGTAACAAGGGCACCACGATCACATCGGAGAACTGGGCAGGTTCTGTCTCTCTTCCGCGAAGCCGACAAGGTGTCCAATTGGCGCTAAGCTCAGCCTTGGGATGGCTGGCGTGGAATATACTGGGCCAAAATAGTTGAATAATGATTTTTACAATGTAAAAAAACAATATAAAGCAGATGGTGTCAATTCTTCAGAAGTTTCCAACCCATTGGTGGATTGATTGGAAATGGATCAGCGGTTCAATCCCTGAGGCTTCCTTTTGTCACTGGTGGGGAGTGTACGTGGTCTCATGATGTGCCGGCGCTGCCGGCTCGTGTTCTTGGAAAGACAGATACCAAAGTTGGATGGGCGTTGAGTGTGCCTGATCCCCTTGCCCGGCACCAAATAGTGGGATGTTCGTCTGCCAAAAGTGGACCTATAATTTCTAATGACGTATATAGGCATAGGTATTCACTCAACCCCTATGGTGACAAGAAGAATGTGTTTGAAGACTGTCAAGGGGGATGATGATTACGGTGATGATTACATGCAGTGGCGATGCCGAATGATGTGGATGTCCTTGGTGGTGGTGGTAGATCGATCTTCTGTCTGCTGTTACGTGATCAACCTTCTTATTCTTGATTTTCTCGTTGTAGTTCGTCATGTTTCGTCGTCATTCCGTTACAGACGCAATGGCAATGGCAATGGCAAGTTGTCGTCTGCAACTCGTGTTCAACCAACGGGTATATCACAAATTGCCAATGCATCAGAAAAGAACAGACTTCAGGGTTTGCCTCCCCTTAACTTGGTGTTCTTTCTGAATTTCGAACAGGCCTCCTTTTCCTTGATTTTAGCCTAGCCCCCGTTTTGCGATTATTGTTTGTAGTTGACCATGTGCCATTTCCAACCATTTCCAACTACAACCTCATGGACCTGGGGATCTCTGCAGTTTGGACCAGAACCCACTGGCCACCTGCAGATAGCACAGGGGTCATCAGGGGTCCGCTTTACGGATGGGAATGCGCACTGAGCCAGGCACTGGTTTTCAATATTGAAGCCAAAGTTCCTATCGTTCCCCGCAGATTCAGCACACTGGTGCGACACTCAGAAATGCAGGCTTTGTGATGATTTGCAAAAAAGCCTCAAGTCGAATACGGAAGTGATCCAGCAACGTTATATTTTTTGTTAAAGGATGCATGAGAGGCTAAGAGTTTCCAGGTCCTGTGCGCTTGTGGCTTTGGCTGTTTCCACCAAGGAATGTGAACACAGTTCAATGTTTTTTGTAGTATTGCATCCCTGAAATCATGTTGTGCGTATGTGCGCTTCAGATACACCGCGCCTTCATTGACGATGCCGATGATACCCAGACGCTCCCGGGTGTTTACATTATTGAATGGACGTTGCTTGGCCGCATTTTTTTCTTCGGCACTATAGATTGGACCCAGATAAAGTATGGACATTGCTGTGAGTCCACAGAAAGAACAGTGGGGACACTGGAAACCGATGAACAATCCGAAATAGGTAGGTTCTTGAAAACATGGGACCCTCAAAATGCCTCGCTTCCCCACAAGGGTTGAAGATCTTTGCAAGTCCCAAAATTTCTGAACACCCAGGCCCCCAGCAGAAGATGTCGCAACGGGTCGCAAGCTCACTGCTTGTTTGCGCATTTCCCTTGGCCGATTTTCTGGGTCATTTGGAGGACCCAGTTATTCGCTGGGTATTTTCCATCCAACAACAGGGATGGTGATCCCATTTTGCCTTCATATGTGTGGGTGGGCTAAACCCATCTAAACCCACTTCAGCCAGCAATCAGGTATGATGGCCTTTCAACCAAGAATCCCAAGACTCCCAAGAATCCTAAGACTCCCAAGACTCCCGGGAGGCTGGTTCGTTTCGGGACCAATTTGTTGATCTTCCAGGATCTTTGCAAAGCCTCCGGGACTGAGGTTTATTTTGCGGCATGCAGGTGCCACCCACACCTCCCAGGTCATCTGCGATGCAGGTGGGAAAAATCTACATGCAGAGACATAGGCTTTGAGGCTGATGGTGTGCGACCAACCGAGAATGGGTGGAGAATCATCAAGCCTTAGTAATTAAGAAGCATGTCAATTACCCATAAGTTTGGGATAGACATCCAGTGGCAAATAGTGGTTCTATGATTCTAATTATTTCTAATTTGATTATAACATATTATGTATGAATTATAACATATTATAACTGGAACTATAGGGAAGCCCCAATTCCAACAGAGAACTCATTGATGTGCGTCAGCAATGTTCCCAAGTGATGAACTCTTCAGGTGAACCTGTCAACAACCTTCGTTTGCCCCGATCCTGAACAGCAGGCATTGGGGGCTTTGGTGGGCAGGGAAGGCCAACAAAATTGCACAAAAAGATACAAAAAGTACAGATAGTACAGTAATGTAGAGTATTAAAGACAGGAAATTCGCTTTGATGAGCGACGTATTATTGGAATTTATTGGATATGATTGGATTATATTGGATTAGCATGAACCTTTGCCTATCGAAATCATAATCCCAGTATAATCCCATTTTGCCCAATCCTTTTGAGCCATTGCTATCCAGGATTGCTGCGTGATCATCATGGCCGGGGAAAACGACTTTGGAGTCAATCAAAGGTCTATGACCGAGCTGGGACATTCCCCAAGTTCTTTGGTTCACCATTGCCGATGTGTAATCCATGAAAATGTCACTTGTGAAGTTTCCATGTTCAGACTCTCCTAAAAATAGTGGGACCTGGTCTGAGGTTGATTCCCAACCTGGTCCTGAGAAAGTTCCTGACATTCAACTCCAAGGTGCGGGAACGGTTGTGCTGAGATGATTGCCTGGACGGCGATGTTTTTTTTTGGACAGAGATGAGAAGAATGAGACCAGTGATCGGTGGAGGATTGTGCATCGCCCTGAGGGAATCAGACAATTTGATACAACTTTTCACTATGACTCATTTTGAATCACATATATTTGTGTTTGGATGTGTTTTGGTATTAGAGGATTAAGAAAAAGGAAAACAGTTCTTGTGGCAGTTCGGTATGTTCATGTGCCTATTGACCAAATTTGACCAAGATCCTAGAAGATCTAGAAGTTTGGCCATTGACCTATCCCATCCTATCCCTAGACCGATGTCCAGAGGTGGTGGCCAGCAACATCAGTTCTTGCCTTCAAGACATGGAGCGCTTTGGCTACTCCGAGCGAATTGAAAAGGACGCTCAGGTGCCCACGGTGCCCACGACATACCACGACCCCAGGGAGTTGCCAGTCAGACTTGCAGCGGATTTTGAGACGACGTTGATTATGGCAACATTCTGAGGCTGAGTGATGTAGAGTCCAATGTAGAGTGTGATTCTCATGAGCTTTGAAGAATAGCAGAGGCTAAGGGACAACGGTACATGGTATCACTGCACCATACTGAGTACAGGTAACACTTGAAGACATCCACAATATTCCACAGCTGGTACAGACATGATGATCGTTGTCATTCTTGGCAGTGATAGTCGGTGATGTTGAGTGTTCGCCATCTGCCAGGGCTTTTATTCATCAGTAAGAAAGCGGACCTCAAGACGTGGATGACCGGTGCTTGCGGCCGTTTGAAAGGCAGGCATTAACGGCATAACCAGCTGACTACACACCCAAAGTTTGACATGAAAACCGAAAACTTGCATTCCTGAAATGCAGGGAGAGGCCCAGAAATCACACCAGCTTGTTGATCCCAGTCACGCTTTGTGGATGTGTTTACCTCTTTTAATGTTGTCTGGTGCTCGAAAGCAAAGGCTTGACGAACTTGACGACATACGTAGGTACGACATAGCTAGTGGATTAGGTTGGAAGGATGCCAAGAAGAGCGCATGCCAAAAAGAACACACTCATGGAATTCCATCGTGCATTGCGTGCGTTTGCACCTGTGATCACGCGTGTTTTGATCCTGGAGCCTTAAGCCTTGCTCATTGATAATGTATTGGCAGATGAGTGTGGTCATGGCTCAAATTTTAGTTCACTTACAGTGGTTGGTGAATACGAATACTAATTATAGTAGTTCTCATGAAGCCTGGTATCAATCCGTATCAGGCATTATCAGGCCATACTGTGTCATATGATCTAGCCATAAACCATGGACCATTCAACCGACAGAGCTCAGCTATATTGATTCAAGTTTCGGCTCCAGCCTTGAAATTGTGGTGCCAGCTCAACCTGCGCCAATTGTCACCAGGCTGTGCCTTGGCATTTGGGCGCCGGGCTTGATGGTTGCTGTTCTTCAATGGCAGCGACTTCCATTTCAATTTCTTGCAGGGGGTAACCTTAAACAATGCCACGTTCAATGGTATCAAAGTACAATATCGCTATGACATTATATGAAATTATGTAGATGTCAGATGGCATTCTTCATTTACTTTGTTTGCCTGGCAAATTGATATTGGATAATGATGGATAATGTTGGATATTCAAGCCTCAAGAATGGATAAAGATATATTATAAAGATGGTATTATAGAATATTAATGAATATTATATATATATAGATTATAGATTCTGAGCCATCCTCAATTAGCCCAGTTGAAGATGGCGGGGGATGATGCTCTCACCAGCACAACACGAATGGAAGAAGAATCCTCCAGCCGTGAAGGCGCTGTCAGATTGCCAGCGGAGGAATCTATCCAGTGGTCCGTTTTGGTGAATCCAGTGGCCAGAAACATCCCGTTTTGGATGGATGGATGGATGGATGTATCATACTAATATCATACATTAGCATGCTGTAATATGCTGTATATTAAATTATATTAATGCAATTTGCATTGAAATGCATGGCATCCAATGGATAGTGGGCTATACCCGGTCATGTCCACTCCTTTGCCACTGGTTTTGTTTTTGGCGAGGCAAAGTGATTGAGAAGCTTGAGGATCAGCGGCCAAGCCTCGGGTTCATTCGGTTCATTGTCTTTGATCCACAAGTCAAGTAGCCATGGGAAAAATGTGCCCATATCAGTCCGACAAATGGGTTGACTATGGTTTACTTATGTTTACTTGGTTTCTTCCAAATCTGTGATGGCGTTGACGTGGCAAGTTGTCGAAGCATGTCAAAGCTGTTTGCATGACCACTGATGACCGATCCAGCCGAACCCGAACCAACCCACATCTTTTCAAGGACTAAAGATAGAGCATGTTAAAAAGTTCGGCACTGGTACTGGTAGACCCCAAAAACCATTGGCTCCACATGGTTCCCCCCTGGACGACCTTGCAAAGGGGGGTTCCCTCGGGGTCCGCTGACAAAGGACCAGCTCCGGGAGAGCATCATGGCAAAGCTGGAGGAGTATCCATGGGACCCAAAGACAATAGCATCTCCATGCATATCCCGTATTATAGTAGATTATAGTATATTATATAGCAGATTCTTCTTTTAAATTATCTATGTATTTTAGTAGAGTTCTGCCAAAATTCCTTGGGACTTTTGGCCTTTTCGCCTTTCGTTTTGTGGTTTTGTTGAATGCCAAGTTGACTGGGTATTGGCCGTTGGCTGTATGAATTTGTGACAATGGTCTCAATGAGCCACATGAACGTGAACGAAATATCCTCGAGCTGCCACCTACTCATAGATCCCTACTGGCACGAGCAAACGCCTGGAATGTTCCAAACATGGTCCATACAGTCAAGGATCAAAGTCGTAGCGATTTTTTTGTGTTGCTTTCATACACCTTTGGCGAAACTCTCCAGGGGGGGGTCGTAGCAATTGTGGTTGTGCCTACGGTATTTGCATAGTGAATGCCTCAAGAAGTCCTTGCATGAAAATCTTGACGATGCCCTATATTGGGGGTGCTTGTATAAAACCTGTTCTGGGATGCTCTTGGCCTTACGAGGTTCTTGTTTAACGATTTTGTAAGATTTTGTAAGATCCTCTGACGATGATGTGAAATTCTCTTAGAGATTCTGCTATGAGGTCTTTGTCAGGCGCTGTCAGTAGATTCAGTACAGTAGATGTTTTCCTCACTGTTTGAGGTTTCTTGGGAACATGTTCTTGACTTTGTCCGATGATTTCCCATGATTTTCGCACAATTTTCTTACGGTTTCCTACCATTCTGGCAGCCGCCCCAGGACATCTTGGCGAAGCAGGAGACAGATCTCTGGCGCCGCGGTCAGGAGTGACACCATGGAACAATCCGAAAGCATCCGAAAGCCCTGGGTCATGGGCAGGTGTTCATGATTTGTTATGCGTATATATGCGTATATATTCGTATATATATATATATATTATATTGCATTATATATATATAATTATGTATGTATATATAATGGTTATGAATCATCTTGTGTATAGTAGCAACAAGTCGCTCATGTACATATGGTTGTTATCATATTAAAAGATGATAAAATATAGTATACGTATATATTGAATATATATATATACATATATTAGGGTTATATAGGATAGTTCATAAATATTGGGTATAAACATGTATAAACTGTTTTAAACCGAATAAAAGTGAAATTGACCATCCGATCTCCAATGTTGGTTTGAACATGTGGCTAAGTTGGGTCTAACTACTGACATGGGATGGATGCCCAATTTAGAAGTGACACCTTTCGGACAGGGGAACTTCTATAAGTGAGATGGTCTCATCAATGATGTTGGGTTGTTTCAAACAGAGGAAATCCAATGGTTTCCATTCTGCTGAAGTAGTGCATGTTGAATCAAAATCCTGTGCAGTTTCGGGAGGCGTTGAGTTAACATACCCAAATTTCTGTCCATTGGTCACTTTGGTATACTAATGTACACTATGGTCACTTAGACTCAGTAGTTGGGTAGTTCATTTTTTCACAAAAGCAGGGCGTTGCAGACGGAGGTGAATCTGTCAGAGAAATCATTTTCTGAGTATGTTGGTGTGGAGCTGGATATGTGGCTGTGGATCAAAGCTTTAGTGGAAGTTCTAACGAGGCAGGGTATGGTTTAGTGATCTTGAACTACCACTATATGTACCAGGTTTTTCTTGATATGTCCAATTCTATGTGAAGCAAAATCATGCAAAATCCATAGCCACACAATCTCAAATACTGTATTTGCGAATGGGTATGATATGAAACTGATCAACCCGACTAACCATGATCTCACATAATAACACAATATGTACTATATATATATATGTATATCTATTAAATATATCTATATATTGTAATATATATATATACATGTTATACTGTTATAATGAATGGTAGTAGTCATGAGAATAATTGAATAAGGTAATCAAATAATAGTCCTCCTAACCTCTGCGTGTCAGCCCTTAAGCTCCCTTAAGTTTGGGTTGCTACCAATTATATTATATATGTGTATGATATTATATGTTATATATATATACATGGTTTAAAGATATTATATATATATATACATGTTATTTCGATATAACATAATTTAGATATATAACAATATTAATCAACAAAGGATAGTAATGATAATTAATGATAAGAATGTAAACAAACACATACAACTGGCATCCACACTCAGTTCACTCCTGTACATCCATTTTCATTGGTCAGTTGTATCCTTATCAGGAAGCCGTGGCACAATTGCAGACGGACCGCAAAAGCGCTCTGGAACCCAGCTCAAACGCTCTGGATGTGGTTGGGTCAGTTGGGTCAGTTGGGTCTGATTGGGTCTGATTGGATATGCCAGTGATTGACCGCTGTTTTTCCCTACGCTGCGTCCAGCACCAGTGGTGCCACCTGGCAGCGCCGTGTGTTGTCCAGGTCTTGGCGTCGTTGACTGAGCTCCAAACACGGCAAGCCGAGCTCATGGCGCAGCAAGCAGAGATGAATCGTGCTGTCCCCAGACCTGGGGATCCTGGGGTGAGGAATTGTTCCAAAATGGATGATTAAACCATATTAAACCTGGTTAAAGAGCCAACATCACCTCAGAAACTGATGATGTTTCATGGGCCTAATAGCATCTAATAACCCACATGCATTCCCAACTGCAAACTTCCAGTCCAGGAAATGAGTCCCAGGTTTGAGGTAACAACAAAGACAAGTCGCTCTATCAGTCGAATATCAGATTTGAAAATAGGGTATATTCCCAATGAAATAGCCATTTAATAGGTATAATGATCAGCAAAACCATTGGGTTTAGGGGTACACTATTTTCAGACACACCCGTTTGAATGACATTTTGAATATGCCCTATATGCCCTGAAATCCCTCAATATTAGAAGAAAATATGACATGTTATTCCTGTTCCCGCACATGTTGTCATTTGGAATCTGCTCCAGGGGCATTGCTGGACATCTCCGGGAAGCTCGAGATGGTCCAAGAAATGAGCAAGGTCCTATTTTCAGCCGTTGGAACTGGTCAACCCCCGAATTTCGGATGGTTGTAGCCAAGTGTAACCAACAAAATCACACAAGCAGAGTGGCTCATGTGGTAGACCCTTCCAGCCTGGGCCCTGGGTGGGCCACTTTGAACCATCCTATACCCAAAATTGATGAAAATGTCAGGTGTGTCAGGTGAACACAAAGGTAAGGTCACCCGCCAGGCGTTGTCAGGAGTTGCCGTGCCAGCGCCGGGGAGCCATGGGACGAACACATACCCTGACCACGGGATCCACGGGCTGCTCTTATGGACTCCAGAACCAGGTGTTCCCACTAGACTCACTAGACACCAATGGCATGGCAATTGCCTAGGCCCAGCGGGGCCATTGGGCCTGAAGTTGCTGAACCAGAGGTGATGAGCGTGCCCATGGGAGTGAAGTTCTCAAGGGAAATCGTAAGGAATGGAGTTATCGTTGGCAAAAGTGATCCAAGTATCATCAAGTATCTATATTAAAGTATTGGAACCTAGAACCCTATTCCTCTACAACAACACACTGTTGAAGCTTCATACTTCAGAACGTGGGCTATGAAATGATGCTAGATTTTCCAGCTTTGCTCCAGGGCATTTTGAACGGCTTTGATGACATCCTGGTTGACAGCAGCGCCCCAAGGGGAGTTAGTTCAATGGACTCGGATGGGCGGACCTGGGAACGGCTGTAGTAACCAGATGGGTGAAGTTCCAAGGGTTGATGTTTTTTCTGATGTGTGGGCCCATTGATGGGTGGGCTCCATGCTTCGCGGCTGTGTTGGGATGTGTTGAGTGCTTCAGCATGTTTCAATTTCAACTGGTTCCAGGTACTTATTCCCTGCACATGTTCAACTCCGGTAAGCCGAGTTATGGCTCAGGGAAACCTATTTCCTTGCAACTGAACCCCATTCATGCTGATGTGGTCTTGGGCACGGACCTCAGTTGGTTTTTCATGTTTTTCTGGGGGCTTGGCTGAACCACCAGCCCGCTTGGGAAAAAAAACTTATAAGTAGATCATCCAAGCATACCATCAGAAATATCCCAGGAATTTTTGGCAGTTTCTCCCAGAATTGGCTGAAGGAAGTATTTGCAGGACTTTGACCGAATACACAACATATATATATATATATAATATGATATGATGTCTATATAAGATCACGTAAGCATGGTCAAAACCTGTTGTTTTCTTTTCTAAAACTTTGCGTTTCCGCTAGATCTTCAGTGGAAAAGCTTCTGAGGTCAAATGGTTTTTGCTATGGACAGCTGCTTGGACAGCTGCTGCTAGCTGTCAGAGAGAAGACTCCAGCTGCCTAGAGGAAGTTGAGGCGGAGGTCCTGTTTTTACAGGCGCGAGTCCAGCCTCGTGGATCTTGTGAACATTGGCGAACCCCCCATTTGGGGGGATGAAGAAATCCTGACTGAACATGACCAAAATTGTGATTGTTCATATATTGTTTATATATATATATATATATCGTTCATATATTGTTTATATTATATTATATTATATTATACCATATTATATTATATTATATTATATTATATTATTATAATATATTATATTATATTATATTATATATTATATTATATTATATAGTATATTATATAGTATATTATATTATATATTATATTATATTATATTGTTTTATATTGTATATTATATATATGATTATATTATATTATATAGTATATTATATATTATATTATATAGTATATTATATATTGTATTATATATTGTATTATATATTATATTATATATTATATTATATTATGTTATATTATATTATGTTATGTTATGCTATATTATATTATATTATATTATATTATAATATATATATATATACATATTGTTTGTGCCTCCATTGGGATCCAGGTTGAACTTGGAACTTGAGCCCTTGCAGGTACAGCAGAATGTGACGCAGATGATAGAAACCTCGGGGCGTCAAGCAACCATACTTGCTGACCAGGTGAAGTTTCTGATTTGCATTGGGGGGTTCACTTGGTTGTAACAATTGTAGAAGATGTGAAATTTGAAATCCCAACAGCTGTGAGTTATCAGCTGCACTGAGGCACATGCACAATGTGCTGCAGAATACGTCTTGGAGTGAACTGCTCCAAACAGCTCAGACGGTGAAAATGGGCACCCAGAGTTTCGGCACCTTCCTCCTCGACGTCTTGCTGGTTGTGGTCATCGTTATCCTGCTCTTTGCGTGTGGGGTTTGGTCCTGTTGCAGAGGCTGGGCACTGCTGCATATAGCAAATGGATATGGCTGCAGACCATGAACATGTGATCATTTGGAAAGCGACTATGGCTGTGCCAAAGCATCTTGAAACATCTTGAAACCAGCTGTAGACTCCATTTAAAGGTTTCCCTGCTGTAAAAAGAAATACTGTAGATGGCATGCTTGTCAAGTTTGGGACCAAATCTTTAAAAGATAAGTTGAACATAGTTGAACGTAGTTGAGTCGAGCCTTTCAGCCTTTCCCAGAAATGGAAACATCATTTTTGGTAGTTGAATCCCCTGGAGGTATGTTTGCCTCCCTGCTAAGCAGCTCAGCTCCCAAAGAAGAAGATGGCAGGGGCTCGAGCGGACGAGCGGAGCGCAGTAGACAGGAGCCCAGCTTCTCGCAGTCGCAGGCGCTCAGTGCACTGCAGATTGCAGATCATTGCAGTTGTTTTGGTACATGGATGTATATGGGGGTTTCCTAAAATGGAGGTACCCTAAAATGGTTGGTTTATAATGGAAAATCCATCTATAAATGGATGATTTGTTGGTACCCCTATTTTGGAAAACCATCATATCAACATGTTGTTTTTGGACTTTTTAGGCTACCTGATCTATATATAATATTCACTCATACCTATCTCATATCCATTTGATTGAATCCTTCCGGATGGTTCTGGCGTCGCAGGTGGCGGAAATTCCCAAGATCTGTCAACGATACGTGGTGCCCAGCAGTGAGTCGCACTTCTCTGTGGACATGAACGAGGTCATGGACACAGGTGGGGGGTCAAAATATGTGTCAAAATATGTCCAAATGATCGCAGTGAAAAATCGTCATCAAGATGATTTCGTTGCTGTTTGTAGCATGGTATAGCTACATAGAAAACGTAGATCTACGTAATATTTGGTTCAGTAGCAAAATTGATGGACGGATCAGCTGGGCCCCATCTTTCCATGGCCACCAGGTCGTTCATCCTTTGCCATCAACAGCGCCAGTGGCACCAAGCTCCTTGAGGTGTGAACCACGGTTCCGACTTGGTCAACGGGTGCAATCTTACCATATGGCTCCAATAATGCTGGAAAAGCGGACTCCGACTCCCTTTGTTTGATATGAGGTATCCTGGTGAATCATGTTGTACATCCCATACAAGTCTGATGCTTCCTTAGTCAGAAAAGCCATGATGATACATAATTAGATATATTTATATTGGTTCTGCAATTGTTTGTTGGCCGATCAGTGAAAGTCCAGTGATCTCTTTTCCACAATTTAGAAATCGTTCCCCCCCCAACTGGCATAGAAAATAGGTTTCAAATCAAAGTCACACGACAGATTCTGTACCGTGAGGATCTGCCCACCCCTGTGACAGGCCAAGCTTTCAGAGGGCCGATTACTATCGATTATTCCAGTGAACACCAAAGATCCTGAAGAGTCTTGGTTCATTTCAGCAGCCAGTGCCACAAGTCCAGGGGTGATAGTCGTCGTTGATAGGATATGCAGCACATAATACATCAGAATACAGCCTGAATACAGCTGAACTCATGTATTTCTTGTTGAAAATTAACGAGAACCAAATTTCATCAATTCTCCACTTTTTCTTGAAAAAGGGATTTGCCTAAGGGTTTGACCGCTTCACCCTGATTCTTCCCTCCATTGTCAATCTATGTCAATCTCGGAGTTCCAACGTGGAATCTGAGATCATGCTACGGGCCAGCTCGGGTGCGGCGGATCCTTTGATGCTGACCATTACCGATGGACGAGGATCCTACCAGGGCAAGATCGCCGCAGGACCTGCCGGTAGCGGTTTGATCCTCTACCGGCTGCAGAAGCCGTGTGCTACCATCACTGCAGATGCACCTGGGCCAAAGGGATGGAAAGGGAAAGTGGCAAGAGAAGTAAGAGAAGGTAGTTCAATATACTTCAATCATGTTGGAATCATGTTAGAATCATGTTCAATCCCATTCCTGCGAAAAGGTTTCTGGTTATGTGGCTTTTTGAGGTGGGATTCTTGTTAGGCTCAGGTCTTGGCATCCTGACCTAGGCCTAGGCCATAGATGGCCAGAAGGCACTACAACGAAAATTCTAAACCAATCCCAGGCTTCAACATCACAAAGACATCATTCACACATATTTGTGTGTGTGTGTTTGTGCTGAATCTCCTCCTTTCTGTTGATTCATATCTGTGGTGATTTGGTGCGTGTCTTTTGGTGCCAAGAACGTGTCGAGCCTCAGCATGCAAGTGTATCCGTTGCTGGACAGCGTCAAAGACACCATGGTGGCCTCCACCATCCGAAAGGGAGACACCCTGAGGATTCAGGCGGGTTCGTTGATACTTTTTTTTTAATGGTTTATTAATATTTGTGATAATAACAATGGGACAATGACAATGATATTCAAGGTATTCAAGGTTGGGATTTTAACCCCAAAACAATTCATAATACCTGATGCAGCCAGTAGATTGGATTGGAATGGACCACATTACTGTAAGGTTTTAGACACTGTTCAGGTGGTACCACACTGGCGGGAAGGAGGGATTGGCGCCTCTTAGGACAACGGCATTGATAGAGGGCGGCATAGTGCCAAGGGAAAGACCGGTGGATGGAAATCCAAGATGCAATCTTCAGGTGACTCAGGTCACTTTTTCAGTAGATCAGCGGGCCGCCTGAGTCACCCCAGCCCCGTTTACACCATTTTACACCCATACCTCGCCAGGTGTCGATGAATTATGATGGATGTCTTTTCCTGGGATGCATGTTGGGCATCATCGTCCTTGAACCTCCATTGATCCAAATGGCCGCGGGATGAAGCAGCGAGAGCGCCGTCCCAGTGATGAACCCGTCCGTGAAGTGCTCGCAGTGTAGATCCCAACGGCACCATGCTGTTTCCGGCCGGTGATCACTGGATAATACTGGATAGTTATTGCGAAAGTGTGGAGAAAGAGGAGTGCTGGCAGAGCAGATCAAACCATAATAAACCTACTGTAGATAGAGGTCGAGGTGGTATTGAGGTGGTGAAAAGTTATTGGTTGCTCCAAATTCTGAATTCTGGGCCTGCAAATCCACCAAGAGTTGATTCCAGGAATCAAAGGCTGAAGTTGACCAGACATGACCAGATTCCACAACTTCAGCATCTTCAGCATGCCTCAGGCTCTGAAGGACCAGCCTTGCCGCCTTTGTTTGCCTCTCAGTGATGGGCAGCGGGATCTTTGATTTAGACATATTTAGATCAATCTAGATACAATTAGAATCAACTAGATACATTTCCAGAATTCATCATCATTCCAATGGATTCTATATGATTCTATGATATAATATGGCATGGGGTTAAAAAAAAATAGATTTAAGGCATCAAAAAATAGATATTTAAGGCATCAATAAAAAATATTTAAGGGATCAATAAAAGATATTCATTTTTCCTGCGCTGGTGCAGTGTTTTGGCCCTTTTATGCCATTTTCAAATCGTGTGGTCTTTGAATCTCCCGGTCCTTCAGTCCTCTCCCTTGGTCCCTTGGTCCTCTGGTCCCTTGATCCTTTGGTCCCTTGGTCCTCTGGTCCCTTGGTCCTCTGGTCCCTTGGTCCTCCGGTCCTTCCGTCCTTTGGTGGCTCTGGTGCCTTAAAACATTTTGAAGATAATCCTTAAGTCAACCAGCCGTTAAAAAAAAAAACTAAATCAGCCTCAATAACCCCTAAACTCTACCCCCCAAGCCAAAGTAAGTCTTAAACAAATCCTAAACCAACCCTCAATCAGCCCTAAACTAACCCTAAATAATCCCTAAACAAATCTTACATAAACCCTAAATGAAGCCTAAACGAACCTTAAATAAGTTGTAAGCGAAACCAAAATCAACTTTAAACCAATCGCAAATAATCCCTGAACCAACCCCAAATAAACCTAAGCCACCCCTAAAAAACCATAAGCCAACCGTAAATAAACTCTAAATAAATCCTAAGCAAACCCAAATAAACCACAAACCAACCCTACATAAATCCTAAACCAACCCTGAACCAACCAGAAATAAATCACTAAACCAACCTTATAGACACCGGAAACAAGACCTACATAGACTAAACCAACCCAAAACAACCCCTAAGCCAACCCTAAAGAAACCCTGAACCAACCCTAAATAACACCTAAACCAACCACAAACCAATCCCAAATACATTCTGAATCAACCCTGAATAAACTTTGAGCAGCACCTACACAAATCTTGATACCAACCCTGAACAAACCCTTGAACCAACCCTAAATCTACCCTAAACAAATCCTAAGCCGACCCTGAATAAACAAACAACCAACCCTCAATAGATCCCAAACGAAACTTAAACCACAAAGTCTTGAACGAAATCAAAATAAACCCTAAACCAACCCTACATAAACACCAAACAAGATGGAAGCCACGAACCCGAATGTATTCACGTTCTTGGACTACGAGTGCAAACCTCTGCAATAGGAAAACGAACCGATGTTTGCATGCATCGTGCGGTTCACAAAGAGACAACTAACCAGCACAACAACATCACCACAAGCACAACGAAATCACAACCAGCACAGCAATATCACCAGCGCAATGAAAATCACAACAAAATCACCAACACAACAGCATCACCAGCACAGCAACATCACCAGCACAACGAGATCATCACCACCTGCCACACTCCACACTCCACACTTTACCCACTGCACACTCCACACTCTACACTTTACACTCCACACTCCGCACACTACACTTTACACTCCACACTCTACACTTTACACTCTACACTTTACACTCTACACTTAACTTGACACTCTACACTTCACACTCGACACTTTCCGCTCCGCAATCCACACTCTACACTTTATACTCCAGGCTCCACACTTTACACTTTACACTCCTCACTCCACGCTCTACGCTCTACACTCCACACTCCACCACACTCAACACTCTACACCCACCACACTCCTCACTCCACACTCCACACTTTACATTCCACACGCCACACTTTACACTCCACACTCGCCACTTTCCACTCCACACTCTACAGTTTACACTCCACACTTTACACTTTACACTCCTCACTCCACACTCAACACTTTACACTCCACACTCCTCACTACACACACTACACTCCACACTCCACACTTCACACGCCACACTCCACCACATTCTACACTCTACACACGCCACACTCCTCACTCCATACTCCACACTTTACACTCCACACGCCATACTTTACACTCCACACTCCACACTTTACACTCCACACTCCACACTTCGCACTCCACACTCTACACTACACTATACACTCCACACTCCACACTCTACACTTTACACTCTTACTTTTTACAATCTACACTACACATTCCACACTCTACACGCTCTACACTCCCCACTCCACACTATACAAAGCACTTCCCAGCACTACTTTGTACTGCAAAGCTTGCACAAACTACTTCCCAGTACTTTGTACTACACAGCTTGCACAAAGCACTTCCCAGTACTACTGTGTACTACACAGCTTGCACAAACTACTTCCCAGTACCACTTTGTACTACAAAGCTTGCACGAAGCACTTCCCAGTACCACTTTGTACTACAAAGCTTGCACGAAGCCGTTCCCAGTACTACTGTGTACTACAAAGCTTGCACAAAGCACTTCCCAGTATTACTTTGTACTACAAGGTTTGCAAAGTCGTTCCCAGTACTACTGTGTACTACAAAGCTTGCAACAACTACTTCCCAGTACTACTTTGTACTACAAGGCTTGCACAAACACGTTCCAGTACTACTGTGTACTACAAAGCTTGCAACAACTACTTCCCAGTACTACTGTGTACTACAAAGCTTGCAGAAGCACGTTCCCAGTACTACTGTGTACTACAAAACTTGCACAAAGCACTTCCCAGTACTACTGTGTACTACAAAGCTCGCACAAACACGTTCCAGTACTAATGTGTACTACAAAGCTCGCACAAACTACTTCCCAGTACTACTGTGTACTACAAAACTTGCACAAACACGTTCCAGTACTACTGTGTACTACAAAGCTCGCACAAACTACTTCCCAGTACTACTGTGTACTACAAAACTTGCACAAAGCACTTCCCAGTACTACTGTGTACTACAAAGCTCGCACAAAGCCGTTCCCAGTACTACTGTGTACTACAAAGCTGTGCACAAAGCACTTCCCAGTACTACTTTGTACTACAAAGCTTGCACAAAGCACTTCCCAGTACTACTGTGTACTACAAGCTCGCACAAACACTTCCCAGTACTACTGTGTACAAAGCTACAAAGCACTTGCACAAAACACGTTCCCAGTACTACTGTGTACTACAAAGCTTGCACAAAGCACTTCCCAAACACTACTTTCCAGTACTACTGTGTACTACAAAACTTGCACAAAGCACTTCCCAGTACTACTGTGTACTACAAGGCTTGCAAAGTCGTCCCCAGTACTACTGTGTACTACAAAGCTTGCAACAACTACTTCCCAGTACTACTTTGTACTACAAAGCTCGCACAAAACACGTTCCCAGTACTACTGTGTACTACAAAGCTTGCACAAAACACGTTCCCAGTACTACTGTGTACGACAAAGCTTGCACAAAGCACTTCCCAGTACTACTGTGTACTACAAAGCTTGCACAAACACGTTCCCAGTACTACTGTGTACTACAAAGCTTCAACAAAGTCGTTCCCAGTACTACTGTGTACTACAAAGCTTCAACAAAGTCGTTTCCAGTACTACTGTGTACTACAAAGCTCGCACAAACACGTTCCCAGTACTACTGTGTGCTACAAAGCTTGCGCAAAGCCGTTCCCAGTACTACTGTGTACTACAAAGCTTGCACAAAGCACTTCCCAGTACCACTGTGTACTACAAAGCTTGCACAAAACACGTTCCCAGTACTACTGTGTACTACAAAGCTCGCACAGACTACTTCCCAGTACTACTGTGTACTACAAAGCTCGCACAAACTACTTCCCAGTACTACTGTGTACTACAAAACTTGCACAAACACGTTCCAGTACTACTGTGTACTACAAAGCTTGCACAAACACGTTCCCAGTACTACCGTATACTACAAAACTTGCACAAACACGTTCCCAGTACTACTGTGTACTACAAAGCTTGCACAGGGCCGTTCCCAGTACTACTTTGTACTACAAAGCTTGCACAAAGTTGTTCCGAGTACTACTGTGTACTACAAAGCTCGCACAAACACGTTCCCAGTACTACTGTGTACTACAAAGCTTGCACAAACACGTTCCCAGTACTACCGTATACTACAAAACTTGCACAAACACGTTCCCAGTACTACTGTGTACTACAAAGCTTGCACAAAGCACTTCCCAGTACTGTGTACTACAAAGCTTGCACAAACTACTTCCCAGTACTACTTTGTGATACAAAGCTTGCACAAAGTCGTTACGAGTACTACTGTGTACTACAAAGCTCGCACAAACGCGTTCCCAGTACTACTGTGTACTACAAAGGTTGCACAAAGTCGTTCCCAGTACTGCTGTGTACCACAAAGCTTGCACAAAGCACTTCCCAGTACTACAGTGTACTACAAAGCTTGCACAGGGCCGTTCCCAGTACTACTTTGTACTACAAAGCTTGCACAAAGTCGTTCCGAGTACTACTGTGTACTACAAAGCTCGCACAAACACGTTCCCAGTACTACTGTGTACTACAAAGCTTGCATAAAGTCGTTCCCAGTACTGCTGTGTACCACAAAGCTTGCACAAAGCACTTTCAGTACTACTGTGTACTACAAAGCTTGCACAAAACACGTTCCCAGTACTACTGTGTACTACAAAGCTTGCACAAACACGTTCCCAGTACTACTGTGTACTACAAAGCTTGCACAAAGTCATTCCGAGTACTACTGTGTACTACAAAGCTCGCACAAACACGTTCCCAGTACTACTGTGTACTACAAAGCTTGC